TGTTAGGTGGAACTATTACTGCGTTACTGTCTATTTGGAAATTAAGTATGGTTTAAGGAGATGCGCCATGGGTTTGAGGCTGACAATAGGCTGACTTGTGGACTTAATTTAGGTATCACCTTGACTGGATTAAGGAATACCTAGAAACCTGATAAAGCATTATTTTGGGTGTGTCTGGAAGGGGGTTTCCCAAGGACATTTGTGTGTGAGTGTGAGTGGACTAGGTGGGGAAGTCTCTGAAAGCTGTGACAGACTTTTCTTCTGCTGCCTTAGACATTAGAACTTCAAGCTCACAGGCCTTTGGACTCCAGGATTTAAGCCAGAGACTCGCCGGGTCTTGAGGATGTCACTTCCCTGGTTGGCAACGTAAAAATGTTGAAACTTCTTCGATAAAGAGGTTATTTTGTACATCTATATTTATGAAAGGTAAGATCTCTCAAGGTCTCAGCTTTTGGGGTGACTTCAGATGCAGTGGTGACCCACTGTGTGTGTATGTTTGAAATAGGGTCTTACTTTTTCGGCCAGGCTGGAGCGCAGTGGCACAATCATGGCTCACTGTAGCCTCGACCTCCTGGACTCAAGCTATCCTCCTGTGTCAGCCTCCCCCGTAGCTGGGACTACAGGCAGGCATCAACAAGACCAGCTAATTTTTCCATCTTTTGTAAAGACAAGGTCTCCCTATGTTGCTCACAATGGTGTCTAACTCCTGGGCTCAAGTGATTTAGCTGCCTCAGCCTCCCAAAGTGCTGGGATTACAGATGCGAGCTACTGCACCCAGTTCATTGTAGTTTTTGATTGATTTCATCAACTTAGAGTTGTCTGCCACAATTTCATATGACTGCCATTAAAATGCTGGGTACACTGGCCGGTCGCTGTGGCTCACACCTGTAATCCTAGCACTTTGGGAGGCCAAGGTGGGTGGATCACCTGAGGTCAGGAGTTCAAGACCGGCCTGGCCATCATGGTGAAACCCCATTTAAAAAAAAAAAAAATGTTGGGTACAATAACCAACCATAGTGAAATGCATTTATACATTTTGCCTTTTTTTTTTTTTTTTTTGAGATGAAGTCTTGCACTGTCACCTGGGCTGGAATGCAATGGGATGATCTCAGCTCACTGCAACCTCCGGCTCCTGGGTTCACATGATTCTTCTGCCTCAGCCTCCCAAGTAGCTGGGATTACAGGCACACACCACCACACTCGGCTAGTGTTTTGTATTTTTAGTAGAGACAGGGTCTCACTATATTGGTGCCCACCTCTGCCCCACAAAGTTCTGGGATTACAGGCATGGGCCACCGCGCCTGGCCGCATTTTGTTTTTTGACCTACTTATGAATATGGTTCATCTGCTCTTAACTGTTACACCTATGTGACTGCTGTTAGTATACCCGTGTTTGTTAAATAAAAATATATCATTGTCGGCCGGGTGAGGTGGCTCACGCCTATAATCCCAGCACTTTGGGAGGCCAAGGCGGGTGGATCACGAGGTCAAGGGATCAAGACCGTCCTGGTCAACAAGGTGAAACCCCGTCTCTACTAAAAATACAAAAATTAGCTGGGCATGGTGGTGCGCGCCTGTAGTCCCAGCTACTCGGGAGGCTGAGGCAGGAGAATTGCTTGAACCCAGAAGGCGGAGGTTGCAGTGAGCCGAGATCGTGCCATTGCACTCCAGTCTGGGTAACAACAGTGAAACTCCATCTCATATATATATATCATTGTCTATTTTATTATGCAAATTTGCCTATGAAGTATTCTCTTTTTTTTTTTTTCTTTTTGAGACAGGGTCTCAGTCTATTACCCAGGCTGGTATGCAGTGGTGTGATGGTGTGATCAGAGCTCACTGCAGCTTCCATCTCCTGGGCTCAAGTGGTCCTCTCATCTCTGCCATCTGAGTAGCTGGGCTACAGGCATGCACCACACTGTTTGAGTAGAGACAGGTGGTGCTGCTGCCCAGGCTGTCGTGTTTTCCTGTTTCTTAAATAAATCTCTGAAAAATGTAAATAAATGTCTTTTAAATAATTTAATTTTTTCACCAAAATATCTTTGGAATTTTATTTTTCAGAATTTTAATATTTGGGGTTGTCTTTTGGGACTATGATCAGCTCCAAAGAGACACAAATCTGGTCCCTTCATCCCGCTGCTTACTATTCTTCTTCGCATTGCCTTTACTTTCAGAATAAAATCCAAACACTTAAGCTTGGTCCACAGGCCTCCATGATCTATCTGGCTGTGCATCTCAAGCCACTGTCCCACTCCTTTTCCTCTAGCCATTTTTTTTTTTTAAAGATGGAGTTTTGCTCTTGTTGTCCGGGCTGGAGTGTAATGGTGCGATCTCGGCTCACCGCAACCTCCACCTCCTGGGTTCAAGCGATTCTCCTACTTCAGCCTCCCGAGTAGCTGAGATTAGAGGCATGCCCCACAACCCCGGGCTAATTTTGTATTTTTAGTAGAGATGGGGTTTCTCCATGTGATCAGGCTGGTCTTGAACTCGCGACCTCAACTAATCCAACCGCCTTGCCTCGGCCTCCCAAAGTGCTGGGATTACAGGCATGAGGTTCCCAACCGACTTCCTCTATTTTTAATGAATTCCTTCCAGTTGCCACACCAAAGGCTCTTTCTTTCCTTGGAGAGTTCTATTCTCTCTGACCAGGAGTCTCATCTCCCACACACCTTTAACCCCTTCCCCCATGATTTTTCAAGTTTTATCCTCAATACAACTTCCTCCGGAAAGCCTGACCAGCCAGCCAAAGTTGTCTTTCTTGGATACCATCTCACTGCTCCTTGCTCTTCTGAGGACAACTGTGGTTGAAAAATTCTTTGGTAATTCTGTTTATTGCAAGTTCCAGAATTAATGTTCCTTGAGGGTAGAGGCAGTATTTTCTAACTCTCGTGTCCTCTACAGGGCTGTGCATATGGGAAGTACTCAATACATTTCTTTAGTAAATACTGAATGGGTATTCAGGGGGTAGTTGACAAGTCTACTTTTCATATGGTGGGTGTGCCAAATAAGGGTGGCAGCCATTTACTAAATGAGTCATCTTGCTGGAAGGCAAAGAGATTTACTAATTGATCACTGAAGATGGGCTGGTTATTGGGATTGAAGCCCTAATGGGCATAAAAATCAAATTTTTATTGGTCTTTTTGAGTTTCAGCCCCTGAGGTCACAATGTACCCTACTGCTTCTGAGCAGGGTAGGCCTAGGTAGGAGGTAAAGATGGCAGGTCTAGTTTTATAATTCCAGTCCAGAATTTATAATCATTCAGGGAAGGCTGCAGGAGTTACCACTGCTCATACCCTCTAGCTCTACTATGGTCCCTCCCTTGAGGTCCGATATACCAGTGGACACCTAATTGCTAACTGTTGGTAGAAGGAAAAAATAACCTTTATTGGCAAAGTGTATTATTAAAAAATATATATTTAGTTCTTACTTTAAAGGAAATTGCAGCTGTTGTCAGTTATGCATCTTTATAAAAAATATGGATGCTTTTTTTTTTTCTGAGATGGAGTCTCACACTGTCACCTGGGCTGGAGTGCAATGGCGTGATCTTGGCTCACTGCAACCTCCACCTTCCAGGTTTATGCAATTCTTCTGCCTCAGCCTTCCAAGCAGTTGGGATTACAGGTGCACACCACCAGCCCTGGCTAATTTTTTGTATTTTTAGTAGAGAAAGGGTTTCACTATGTTGGTCAGACTGGTATCGAACTTCTGACCTCGTGATCCACCTGCCCTGGCTTCCCAAAGTGCTGGGATTACAGGTGTGAGCCACTGCACCCAGCCTGGATGTTTTCTTATGTAACCCTATTTCACAGTGAACAAAAATGCCATTCCTAGGTATCATCTAATACCCAATACTTAATCAAATTTTCCTAACTGTATACTAAAGTCTTTGTATCTTTGCTTTGCTAAAATCACTCATGCTGCATTTGATTTTTGTATTTCTTACATTTCTTTTAATCTAGAATAATACCCTCCCCTCTCCTCTTTTTTTTTTTTTTTTGACAGAGTCTCATTCTGTCACCCAGGCTGGTGTAGTGGTACAATCATAGCGTTCACAGCTCATTGTAGCTTTGATCTCCTGGGCTCAAGCAATCCTCCCACCTCAGCCTCCTGAGCAGGTGGGACTACAGGCATGAGCCACCATACCCAACCTCCTCCCTTTTCTTTTTCATGCCATTGAGGTGTTGACTAACATATGGTCCCTGTTAGGCAAACTTACATTTATCCACTAACTGCGAGGAATGACTAACAGGTAGGGATTTCAGGACAATCAGGAGAAGAATGCAAAGACAAGGCTGGAAGTGGTGGCTCATGCCTATAATCCCAACACTTTGAGAGGCCGAGAAAGGCAGATTGCTTGGCGTCAAGAGTTCGAGACCAGCCTGACCAACATGGTGAAACACCATCTCTACTAAAAATACAAAAAATGAGCTGGGCGTGGTGGCCTAGGCCAATAGTCCCAGCTACTCGGGAGGCTAAGGCAAGGAGAATCGCTTGAATCTGGAAAGTGGAGGTTGCAGTGAGCCAAGATTGCACCACTCTACTCCAGCCTGGACGATAGAGCAAGACTCCATCTCAAAAACAAACAAAAAGAGAATGGAAGGACAAAAAACCATTTTGCATCAGGCAGTTACCATGACAAGTCAATTTTTGCTAAACCATAAAGATAGTCCTAATTTTCAGAGAAGCCATAAAAACCAAGACATTGGGTGTTAGCCATGGAGTCTCACTGACTTGATGCTAGTATCTTAGAACCACTACCCTCACTAATGTGTCATCACTGTGTGACAAATGAAGGAATCTGCAGCTTATTTAAGACTGGACTAATTTCTGTGATGTCCACACAAAACTGGCTACTCCAAGTATGTGTTTGCTTGTGCACATTAGCTATTTCTTTATTTTTCACTTGAAAAAATCCCCTCCATTAAAAAGGTGTAAGAAAGTGATCTCCAGGTTAGAATAAGATGATGGCACAGACTCATTTACAAAAAAGACGACATACGTTCCTCATTAATTTATCATTTAATATAAATGCTGACAGAAAGCAGATAAAGACCTTGTAGACACTTCCATATATTTACAATCCAAAAGGTGAATCACCTCCTTCTACTTGTTAAAATAAATCCTTTTATCTGCAACTCATGGGAGCCTTAAACACTAATTAGGAGCAACATGAGGCTGAGTCAGTTTCCAAGGTAATAAAGAAATAGCATTTTAACAAAATGGGCATCTTTGATATAAACATGCACACAAATAATACAAACTTGAAAAAGATGGCCCTAGTACTCTAAAAAATCAGCAACAAGGGGGAACATGTACTTATTTAGACCAAAATTCTGCTGCCCTAAACATCTTCCTACTATTCCTTTTTTCCACCACCCTTGTTTTGAAAGCTGCTTAAAAATCAGAAATATTAAACAGATTAAAAACAAGAGAAAAACAGTCCATTTCAAATAGGGTTATTTTTCCTACTCCAAAAGAACTCTCAGGAGATAATGTCTTCAGTAAGACTTCACAGTTTGCCAGATCCTCAGGAATTATTCACAGCTTGTGAAATTCCAACCCATTTGCCTTCACTTCCCTCTTTAAAGTTGGAAACACTGGGAAAAAGTAAAATTTCACAAAATTCAGCAATTAAAAAATCAGCTGTCATGTTAAGGCTCAATTTTTTTATTTTTTCCCTGAACAGGTGGGTGGAGGCAGGCAAGAAAGAATAGGGAGCTGAGGCAATAAAAAAAAAAACAAACAAAAATGCAAGAAAACTTGAGGAGATATAAATCCTAGCCAAAACTGTAAGTGATAAGTGATTTCATAAAGTCACTTATAACCTGACTCAAATCTCATGGGCTCCTTTATTAACCTAGATTATTTTTGACTTGTTAAATATACCTCTGCAGGGCACAATCACTTACAATCAATACGATTGGTAAATTACACAAGCTCTATCCCAAGCAAATATGCACCAATGTTAAGAAGTTATTAAAAAAAAAAAAACAAAACAAAATAAAATCCACCCAAAAAGGTGATAATGACTGCAGAATGTCTCGGGGAGACTGGTATGAGCCCAAAGACCAAATTACCAAAGTCAGAGCAAAAGGGCAGCAGGGGTAACAAGAGGAAGAGACCACACACACGAAGAGGAATCTCAAAACTGGAAAATGTTTAAGTGGGTAAAAGGTTTTTTCATTACCTTAATTCACTTTTTCCATTGTTCTTGTACCAAAAAGTCATACAGTAATGATAAAGAAAGATAATGAGGCCTATGGACCAATTAATTTTTTAAAAAGTTCCTTTTATTCCTAGGAAGTGGAAAGAGAAAAAAAGATGGGGGAGAAGCATGAAAATTTAGGCAACGATCCATCTGGAAAAAGTATCTCTCAGGATAGTGTCTTAGATGAATAGAGGATGTAAAAACCATAAGCAAAAGCTAAATGCCTTTAAATCAGAGAACTATTTTATAGGGTAGTTCACCTATTAGGAGAATGACAGCCTATCAATGGAGAGAGATCACACTAATAAATGGTGATTTTTAAAAAAGAGGCAAAAAAAAAAAAAAAAAATCAGCAACCAATTATCCATCCAATAGTTTGTTTCCATCCTTTTCTTGACCCTTTCATACACTCACTGGGGTGGGGGACCACCTGACAGTTTCCAGTTATAAGATGACTCTGAGTGTACAACCTAAAATGGATGCCAAAGACTTGTGAGCTCTGTCTGCTTAGATTAGAACAGAAACAAAAACCAAAACCAATCTGAAACAGTAAGACCTTACTTAATACAAGAAAACAAATCACCTTATCTAGTATAAAATAAACATTAGGATAACAAACTCCACAGGATTTTATTTTTCTAACTATACATTTTTGGACACAATATTATCTTGAGGTTTAAGCTCTTCCCCCTTATTGTGTCTTATTTTCTTGTGAAAATAAAGTTTTTTCTCTAGTGATGTTTTGTTCAGGGATAAAGTTTTGGAGGAATTCAGTGTTTGGCTGAAAATCCAGAGGCTCTGAAAACAAGGATTCCAGTGGTGAGGTAAGCTCCTTTATTATAACAGGATTTCAAAGGGCACTTTACCCACTTTGTTCAGTGCAGTATTGAAAACATACCTATTAGGAACACATTTATTATTAAAAGGTGTTATTTATTCCTGGTGGTGACAGTTTCTTATTCCTTCTTTTTTTTTCTTTCTTTTTGAGACGGAGTTTCACTCTTGTTACCCAGGCTGGAGTGCAATGGCACGATCTCGGCTCACCGCAACCTCCGCCTTCTGGGTTCAAGCAATTCTCCTGCCTCACCCTCCCGAGTAGCTGGGATTACAGGCATGCGCCACCATGCCCAGCTAATTTTTGTATTTTTAGTAGAGACGGGGTTTCACCTTGTTGACCAGGATGGTCTCGATCTCTTGACCTTGTGATTCACCCACCTCGGCCTCCCAATCTTATTCTTTATTAATACTACAGCTAGTATTACTTATCAATTATAATCTATTACTTGTGAAAAGATCTTCAGTGAACACAGAACTGAATCTTAAAAATTGAAATCTTAAGATGTACTTACTACAATTAATAGTATCTTTTGACAAAACAGCTTTCTTTTTGAAGTGGCTCAGAAAAGCTAAATTGAGAAATTTTTTAATAGTAACTATCATCAATCTACAACTCACAGTAAGTCATTTCAGCAGGAAAATTTTATAAACCTGAGCTGAAGCTACAAATAAATATAAAAATCATAGCTGTCCAAAAGAGATCGGTGGGCACTCAGGTAAAATAATGACAGCAGTAGACTTCGTGCTCGTTCAGGAGCTAATGAGGAAGGTAAAATCTGCTTTAGTTTAGTAGCTCTAATTTTTCTTAAAAGGCAGATTTTCCAGGGGAAGAAATCACCTTATCACCAATTAAAAATTTAACACACTTAGAGTCTTTTTAGGGGGAAAAAATCTAAGTAAACACTGTAGTTCCTAAATTTCCAGGAAGGTTATTAATCTCTCCTAAAAAGTAACTGCCCCATTCCTTTCAATGACATATAATCATTACAGGTGCTTTTTATAGATAGATTTTACATATAAAACCTTTACTCAATTCTTTAAAATGAGCAAAATGAGTAGAAAAATGGTGAGACTGCTACCCACCACCATTTGTATGTAAGTGACAGCAACTGAATACTTCTTTTTCTTTTTTTCTCGGTGAGTTTCCAAGGAGCTGTGTAAACTGAGTACTTCTTTACTGAGACGAATGCTTTTTCTTTTTAGTGAAAATAATTTTTCTTTAATTTTAACAATTTGTACATGTTCTGACTATAGTTAGTTATTTCTCACCAGTCACATACTCAGGAATTATTTTACTCAGACCCATGACTTGACCACGGTGATAACAGAAGCTGGGATGGGCACAAATGCTTACACACAATATTATAAAAGATGACATTTACTGGTTTAGAGAAACTGATGAATTTTCATTACTTTTACATTTTATAAGGCTAGCTAACTTTAACAGTTAACTTTAGACAAATCTACTTACACAGTACAATCAACTCACAAATACTAAAAGATTTCATGATCAAAATGGCTACTACTTCCCCCAAAACCAAAACAGACTAAAGCACAAGTCTTTGGCTCTCCTTTAAAGAAAACAGCAGGTTACCATTCTTAACCAGACCTTTGTTTGCCTACCAGTAGGGCAAATACCACATTTGTGCATCACTGAGTAATAACACCATTAGAAAAGGCAACTTCACAGAAGTTATTGGCTAAGCGAATTCATTTGAATGCTCTGTTTTGAGGCAGCAAACTGTCACTGTTGCAGATTGGGGAGGGCATGGGGTAAGTCAAGGGGAAATTACAGGGTGGAAAAAGGTCAAGGAAAAAAAGACATTTACGGAAAAATGTAAACTTTGAGCTCCACCCCTGAAGAACTCTGGAAAGTCTGATGGAGTTTTATACTCAAAGTAGCAAATGAGAATCATACCAATATTCTGTCTTTCAGGCAAATAAGATGGGAGAAAGGAGTCACCAACATTAATGCTGTACCAAACCATTTTTAAAATACATTATGAGTAGTTGAATATTTGTAGTTGGCATTAGGAATAGTGTCTTATCAATATCTAGAATAATATTACTAGAAATTTATGCTAACTTTTAATTAGAAAAGTAATAAGGAATGGATCTTTGGTCACATCAGCCTCTGAATTATCCAAGACAGGACAGCTATTAGACTTATCTTGTGACAAAATTATATATAAATTAGGCAAGAGAGCTAAATATAAAACATAAATTGAATCTAGATGTCTTATTCTCACCCTTTTCTAGAGACCCCTTGAAAAAAAGAGTAAGTCAAAGTACTTTTATAATTCTCACTATAAATAAAATTCCCTTACCTATAAATGAGTGAACACAATGCTTATTACTCCTACCTTAACCTATTCAGAATTGTTCATTTCAGATGGCCAATTTTTGCTTTTGAATTTAGTGAAATACAAATAAAGTAATATTTAGAAGAAACTAATTTTTAATAAGCAGAAAGCATAGAAACTGTATTTCATATCTGGTTTAATCTTTGTCTCTAAAAAAAAAATTAAAAAGCCAGAAGGAATTAATACCTTACAGATTTTGATTTTAAAAAAGTAGTTACAGAGTCAAGCAGTTATGCTCAAATATGCCACTTGTCCTTACAGGCTCATGATACCACAGAAAAAAGGAAAAGGAAAAACCCCAAAATTTTGGGGCTGTTTGTGACTTCCTAAAACCACTGATGAGCACTAGGAAAGCTGCAAGAATTTCCATTAGGTAAGGCAGAATGACTAATTTAAAATACATTGTAGGCACAATGGGACAATATACCATTCTTATGATTTGCTACCCAACCAGATTAGCTCTAGAGTGTAGGGCCAAGGAGGGGTACCTTTTGAATTCGGGTTGCAATTGAAGAGATTTTTTTCCCCTAAATGAAAAAACATGAAAAGAGAAGATACTATTTTAAGTCAAGTGTATCCAGTGACTTTTCTGGTTTTGTTCAGAACAGGAATACTGTATAGATTAATCCCTGTTCCTGCCTACTTCACAGAATCAAAATGGCAAAAGACAAGAACAAGTATATTTAAAGGAAATAAGAACAAGAATAACAGAAATTGAGCTATCAGGAGTTTCAACTGCTACCTAAAATCAATCTTTTAGTATAAACTTAAAAATCAATACCCACAAATTATCTTCTAATACAAGAATCATTCTGAATTCCAAAGTGAATCAAATTGAATCGAAGTGAATCAATTGCTTCTAAAATTTAGGATGATCTAACATATTCAAAGGAGAAGTAAGATTGATCCAAATCTGCCTACAAGAAGGTTGGAATACAAAACTTAGCTGGGTGCGATGGCACGTGTCTGTAATCCCAGCTACTCAGAAGGCTGAGGCAGGAGAATCGCTTGAACCCAGGAGGTGAAGATTGCAGTTAGCTGATATCGCGCCATTGCACTCCAGCCTGGTGACAGAGCAAGACTCTGCCTCAAAAAAAAGAAGGTTGGAGGCCAATAATGTTGCCTTTTACAGTTATGCAGAGAAATGAAAAACCTTGGGACTATGTCATACATACATAAATTTCTTTCCTTCTCCCAATAAACAATAGGCATTTAAAGTGTAAATGTGAAAGGGTTTTAAGTAAGAGTCAAAAAGCAAACAAAAGCAAAAAAAAGAAAAAAAAAGTAAAATGGCAAAAGCATTTTTTAAAATAGAAAGAAAGAAAGAAAAATGCGTAAGTCAACTGAAAAAAAAAAGCCTCATCTTCATTCAGTGCTTCTACCACCTCCCAATCGGTAAATTTATCGCAACAGCTGCGCTCATGCGAAAAAATCCTTAAAACATACCCAATATATATACAGATATAGCTATGTATATCTGTATATATATAATATATATATAAATTTTTATTTAAATAAAAAAGAAAGCTCGAATCCCAAGCCAATATGTGTATATCAAATCCTTGACCAGCCAGGTCTGTAGGGCATAATCAAATTCAATGTGAAATAGTATATAAACACGGTGCCTTGACTGGGCAAATTAAATAATTGCTACTCAAAAGAGTGTTCTGTTTGGACTCTCCTACTGGTAGGCAATGGCAGGACTGTATTACCCTTCCCACCCTCACCACCCATTTGTTTAAGTTAACAGTATGATGGACACAGAGCTTAGACTGAGGTTGTTATGACCTCAGCAGGAGTTAAGGGTTAAGAAAATAAGAAACAAGAAAAATATAAACTCTTGTTTTTACCCAACCAAAGCAATGCAGTAACTTATTACATAACCAGTGCTTTCTAATTTAGTAGTATAATCCAGAGAGGGAAACTGAAAAAATCAGGCAAATAGAGGGATGGAGAGGGCAACTATATCAAACAGCCCCCACTGAGCATGTTTTACAGGGTCATAGTTAAGCACAGACACATGGCATCAGAATATGTGCAGCGGAATTAAATAAAAACAAAAAATCCTTACTCTTTGCAACATTTTCGAGAAGAAACATTTTCAATATTGGGCAGCTAAATCTATGAAAAATGACTTCAAACTATTTCCTACCTACTTATACTAATGATTCTGGATAACAAGTGATCAATTCATAAACTATCCTTAAGACGAAATCACTTTACAAGTAAAACAAAAACATCTATTGAAATAATGTGGCTCTATTCATTTTAAGTTCAAATGAAGTGTTGCAGTTTTAAAACATAGTTGATTGTCCTTGTTTTTGAACATCTTATAATTTTAGCAAAAGTTTAATTTGAAAAGCACTGCTCCAAATTTCCAACTATGAGCTGAATGCAGGCAAAACACCAAACATGTATTTTCAATGCTAATAAGTTACAGTCAATTCTTAATCACCATTTATTTATTTATTTTTATTATTTTTTTTTGAGACAGAGTTTTGCTCGTTACCCATGCTGGAGTGCAATGGCGCGATCTAGGCTCACCGCAACCTCCGCCTCCTGGGTTCAAGCAATTCTCCTGCCTCAGCCTCCCAAGTAGCTGGGACTACAAGCACGCACCACCATGCCCAGCTAATTTTTGTGTCTTTAGTAGAGACGGGGTTTCACCATGTTGACCAGGATGGTCTTGATCTCTTGACCTCGTGATCCACCCACCTCAGCCTCCCAAAGTGCTGGGATTACAGGCTTGAGCCACCGCGCCTGGCCTCTTAATCACCATTTAAATCTAATTAAACTGAATCAGCTTTCTGATTGTATTAAGAGAATGCAAATGATCCTTAATATGAAAATAAGGACTTCAAAAATTGGTAATTCTCTCTCTGAAAAGTTAAAATAAAAACAAAAAATAAAACCTTCCTAAACAATCAAACAAAAGTTTCAATGTCAAGAAAAGCATTCCTATCCAATGAAACTAGTGATCTAGACAGGGATAAAAAATTCCAAATAACAGCTCTGGGAAACGATGGTTTGCTGCACATTTTCTAATAACTCAGTCTATTACTGTCTGTTTCTCAAGCACCGCGGAATTCTCCGAAAGCTGATGTTTTTGGTCTGTTTTAAGTTTATGGGGTGGTGAGAACTGATAAGGATTGGGGGTAAGGAATTATACACTGGGTATGTAATAATACCAAAATACAAGAAAAACCTACTTCATTAAGATCATACAATTAATCAAACAGAGTGTATATATAATATCTTTTTTTTTTAAAGCCCTGGATCCAAGGCGTCCAAAGTTATTAAAATAAAGTTCATTCACAGAACAAAAACAAATTTAATCTGAATTGCTTGCAGATACTGCTAATTCTCTTTTTCTTTAAATTAAAAAAATGCATTAATGTGAACTATGTGCAGGGTTTGTTTTTAGTAGTGGTGTTTGTGCACATTGCCTCTGGTGAATTTCCTGGATTTCTCTGACTGCTCTTAAGAGAAAAAGTTTAGAAGTTATCCATTCTTCTACCCCTATGGCCGACAAACTGATTAGGAGCAGAAGATAAAAGCAGGACTCTTCATATTTTAAGGAGCAGAACTGGGAGTAACTCCTGATCTCTGGGAGTCATTATTATCCCCTCCTCCCTCAGGATCCTCTGACAGGTTCAGAGAGCTGGTCTTGTTTGATAGGAGGCTGATATTCTCTTGCGTCAAGGCTGATCCATTTGGTACATCACTGTTGACATTTCAAAATTTTGAAAAAGGAGAGAAAAATGATTAGTACAATAAAATCAACAGGGCACATCATTTAGCATGATAAAAATATATATAAATGGTTTCCAAGTTTTAATCTACAGTCCCTTATCCATGTTTTAGCACAGGGTTAGCAAACTAAAGCTAGCCAGTGAGGTATGTATTTTTCTAACTAAAGTTTTATTAGAATATAGCCTGCTCATCTGTTTGACATACTATACACTGCTTTCAAACCACAGAGCAGAGCTGAGAATTGTAACAAAGACTGTAAGGCCCATACCTCAAAATACTCACTACCTGGCCTTTAAGAAAAAGTACTGATGCCTGATTTAGCAGGTTTGCTAGTATAAGAAATAATTTTGGGCTCATGCCTGTCATCTCAGCACTTTGGGGGGCCAAGGCAGGTGGATCTCTTGAGCTCAGAAGTTGGAGAACAGCCTGGCCAACATGGTGAAACCCTGTCTACTAAAAATACAAACATTAGCCTAGTGGTACGTGCCTGTAATTCCACCTACTTGGGAGGCAGAGGCACAAGAATTGCTTGAACCTGAGAGGCAGTGGCTGTAGTGAGCCAAGATTGCACCACTGTACTCCAGCCTGAGTAACAGAGTGAGATTTTGTCTCAAAAAACCCCCCAAAAACAAAAATTGAATCCAAAATAATACATGAATTAAAAATAGTCAAAACCCAAGCCTGAAAGCATTAGAAATTTTTGTTATTTATTGTCAGGAGGGTAATTTAGGACTATGCATTCCAAAGCCTCAAAATATCCTTAGAAAATAATTTAAGATATGAAAACAAAGCATTAATTGTAATGCTGTTTATTGTAGGGTTGTTCATGGTAGTTGATATGTATCCTTCCATAGCTGCATAATAATACTGGAGGATACAGACTAGACTAAATTTGCTGGGCACGGTGGCTCATGCCAGCTCACACCTGTAATCCCAGCACTTTGGGAAGCCACGGCGGGTGGAGTTTGAGACCAACATGGGGAAACCCCGTCTCTACCAAAAATACAAAAATTAGCCGGGTGTGGTGGTGGGCGCCTTTAATCCCAGCTACTCAGCAGGCTGAGGCAGGAGAATTCCCAGAACCGGGGAGGCGGAGGTTGCAGTGAGCCGAGATCGCGCCACTGCACTCCAGCCTGGGTGACAGGGCGAGACTCCGCCTCAAAAACAAAACAAGAATAGACTGAATTAAAAACCAGGCACGTGGAGTGCTGGGTTTGTAAAACTAGCAAGAGACTAAATGCCCACACTTTAAAAAGACTGGAAAGATAATACACCAAAATGTTAACAAGGGGTATCGCTGCCTATTGGAATTAGGGGCAATTTTAAAATTTGCTCTTTTCTAAAACTTTCCATTTCCTAAAGCTTATTTTTTATAACATATTTAAGATGGGGGAGTTATTTTTTGTGTTTTCTTTTTTTTACGTTGAGCATATAATACTTTTATAATGTAAAGATATAAGGCTGTGTTCGAAATAAATTTAAAAACATGGGGAAGATGGAAATATAACCAGAAATTTTTCTTTGTTAGGTATTAACAGACAATTCAACCTTGGGTCTGTTCTAAGTTTTGTAACTCCAGATTTATGCAAAATATACTTTTAATGTACACAGAATAATGTTATTTTAAGAATAAAATATTGAATTGCAGCTCTCAGTCGAAGCGCAGAGAACTAGAGAACGCCACACTTTCAGACAAATTCTGGTCGCTCACGGAGCAGAAGATCCCCAGTGGAGGAACCACATGGGTCGCCAGCGTGACTCTTGTGGCCGGCGCAGAGGCTTCGCCTGCACCCCGGCTCGGCAGCTCTCGGAGCAGAGTAAACAGGGCCGGCTCCCCTTCTGACCGAGGTTTGGAGGACCCACATGGGTCCCCAGCACGACTCCTGAGACCGGCGCAGCGGCTCTGACGGCACCTCAGCGCGGCAGCTCTCTGCGTAGAGTAAACGAGACTGGTTCCCCTTTTGACCGAGGTTTGGAGCCAGGGAAAGGCAGAGTCGCCCATTACGGACACAAGAAGGAAGCCAGACAGGAGAATCCTGGGCAGAAAAGCACCATCAGTCTTAACGCCGCCGTTCTGGCCCTGGGAACTAACAACTTGGACGTCCAATCAAGAGACCTAATCTGAAAGTAGGTAATTTAAAAGACGACAGGAGGATAAATTTACAATCATGGGAAGAAACCAGCGTAAAAAGGCTAAGAATACTCAAAATCAGAACGCCTCTCCCTCTAAAGATGATCACAGTTCCACATCAACAATGGAACAAGGCTTGATGGAGAATGAGCGCATCCCAATGACAGAATCACTCTTCAAGGAATGGATAATAAGAAACTTCTGTGAGTTAAAAGAACATGTTGTAGCCCAACGTAAAGAAACTAGGAACTTTGAAAAAAGGTTTGATGAAATCCTATTGAGAATAGACAACTTAGAGCGGAGTATGAGTGAATTAATGGAACTGAAGAATACAATACAGGAACTCCAAGAAGTATGCACAGGTTTAAACACTCGAATTGTTCAAGCAGAAGAAAGGATAACAGAGGTCAAAGTCCAACTTAATGAAAGAAAGCAAGAAGACAAGATTAGAGAAAAAAGGATAAAAAGGAATGAGCAAAGTCTCCAAGAAATGTGGGACTATGTGAAAAGACCAAATTTATGTTTGATAGGTGTACCTGAATGCGACGGAGAGAATGAATCCAAGCTGGAAAATACCCTTCAGGATATTATTCAGGAAAATTTTCCTGAACTAGCAAAGCAGGTCAATATTCAACCCCAGGTAATACAGAGAACACCACAAAGATATTTCTCAAGAAGAGCAACCCCAAGGCACATAATCGTTAGATTCACCAGGGTTGAAACGAAGGAGAAAATACTAAGGGCAGCCAGAGAGAAAGGTTACCCACAAAGGCAAGCCTATCAGACTTACAGCAGATCTCTCAGCAGAAACTCTACAAGCCAGAAGAGAGTGGGAGCCAATATTCAACATCCTCAAAGAACAGAACCTTTAGCCCAGCCGAACTAAGCTCCACAACTGAAGGAAAAATAAAATCTTTTATGAACAAGCAAGTACTCAGAGATTTTATTACCACCAGGCCTGCTTTACAAGAGCTTCTGAAAGAGGCATTACACACAGAAAGAAACAACCAATATTAGCCTTACTAAAAATATACCAAAAAGTAAAGAGCACCAACATAAAGAAGAATTTACACCAACGAATGGATAAAACAGCCAGTTAACATCAAATGGCAGTAACCCTAAATTTAAATTGACTAAATCCCCCAATCAAAAGACACAGCCAAAACCCAACGGCATGTTACATCCAGACCTGTTTCACATGCAAGGATACACAAAGACTCAAAACAAAGGAATGGAGAAAGATTTACCAACCAAATGGAGAGCAAAAATAAATAATAAATAAAAAGCAGGAGTTGCAATTCTCGTATTGGATAAAATAGATTTTAAAGCAACAAAGATATAGTGGTAAAAGGATCAATGCAACAACAAGAGCTAACGATCATAACACCCAGATACATACAGACTTAGATTCAATGAGACAGAAAATTAATAAGGATATCAAGGACTCGAACTCAAATCTGGAACAAGTAAACTTAATAAATATTCATAGAGCTCTCCACTTCAAATACATAAAATATACATTCTTGTCAATACCACATCACACCTACTCATAGGTTTAAATGAAACATTGATTGGCCATTATTAATACCCATTTTTTTTCAGAATAAAGCAATATTTCCGTTTACCCTCCCTCTCTCTCTCTTCCTCTTTCTTTCTCTCCTTTACTCATTTTTTTTTCTTTCCTTCTCTCAAAAAAAAAAAAATAAACTTGTAAACCTCTAGATCCAGGTCGGCAATGTCTCTCTCATTGTTTGAATTCCTTCCCTTCCCTTCCCTCCCTCCCTCCCTTCCCCCTTCCCTCCCTAAAAAAAAAAAAAAAAAAAAGAATAAAATATTTGTGAGGGTACTTCTGATATGACTGGATAATATAATAATTTCTCTTTTGTCTGTTATTTAGTATGGCTTGAAAATCCCCTCTTTATTTATTATTATTTTTTACTGTGATATCATCATTAATTTTTTTAATTAAAAAAAATTTTTTTTTAATCTCTGTTTCTTTATTATTATTTTTTTTTACTGTAGTATCATCAATTTTTTTTTTTAATTAAAAAATTTTTTTTAGACAATCTCCTTTTCTTTACCTGAATGTCAATGTAAGGTCCTCAGCCGGAACCTTGTTTTGTGGTTCTGGTTGTCCATTTTCTGCTTGTTTACTTGCATTCAATTTGCTTTTCATGTCCAGAGAACACTGGTTTTCCTTTGAAAGATAAGGAAATAAAATTCTATTAAATGGTGTTAGTGGGACAGACCAAATTACAAATAATACAAAGTGATGATCCAGAAATCATATTTAGTTTTGTAAATAACCAAAGAAACTGGCAGACTAAAAGAGTGACATACATAAAAACATAACAGAATACAACCCACTTGCTCACTAAACATGCTGGACAGTAAGAAAGGCAATGCCTCAAACATGAAAAAAATTTTCACAGAAAAAAACAATGACCTAGAAAAGTGGCCGGGCACAGTGGCTCACGCCTGTAATACCAGCACTTTGGGAGGCCGAGGTGGGCAGACTGCCTGAGGTCAGGAGTTTGAGACCAGCCTGGCCAAAATGGCAAAAACCCCATCTCTACTAAAAATACAAAAATCAGCCGGGCATGGTGGTGCATGCCTGTAATCCCAGCTACTCAGGAGGCTGAGGAGGGTGAATCACTCAAACCCAGAAGATGGAAGTTGCAGTGAGCTGAGATTGCACCCCTGCACTCCAGCCTAGATGACAGAGTGAGACTTGGTCTCAAAAAAAAAAAAAAAAAAGTAAACCCAAGTACAATAAATATTTATAACATACTTACTAAAAGCAAAAAAACCCTGCAAACTCAATTTATTTCCTTAGAAAAATTATAAAAACTATGCAACAAAAAATATCAAATATCATGCAACCTAAGGAACCCCATAAGATTCAAAATTTAGTAAAATGAATGTCTGTGCACTATGAAGCAAACCCTAAGCATATTAATGAATATAGTTCCACAGGAAAGAATGTGCAGTTTGAATATCACTCATAGCAAAAATAAGTCATCATTATAAAGGCTACAAAACTAGAATGTTATTTAGTCAATATACCTTTATATAACATGTTGTTATTGCAAAATAGTAAACACCATCCTATTTGCTTTCCTAATCAGTATGCTAAACAGAAATTTAAAAACTTCCAGTAAGTTCTTAAAGAACCATTAAAACCTTGTTTTCTCTAAAAGTTCATGAAGAATTCTAAGACAAAGAACACACCAAACAAAAGAGATCGAGAAGAGGAATGATAAAATAGGAAAGTAGCCCACCAGCTTGAGAATTATTTTAAATATTAACCACTCATCAGAGTGTCTTGAAGTGATGATTCTGTAGCTCCAGATAATTCTAGAGCCACATGAAAGATTTCATTTCACCTTCCCCCTCTTTTCCCTGTGTAACACTCACCATACTCAGTTCTCGTGTTCTCTTCCCGATTTCCCTTTCCACCTGGTGCAGTTCCAAGCTCAACTGCTCACTTGAGATCATTCCAGGCCATTTTGGGGGTTGTGGTGGCGGAGGCTGTGACTGGCCTGCCAGGGCGTTTGCCTCCCTCTGCAACACCAGCCTGTTACTAACAGCCTAGTGCATAAAGCCAAGCACACAGAAAACTCAACACACTTCACACCATGCACAGAATAACCAGGCTCAATTCCAGACCACAGCCTTAAGTAGCGTATCACCCAGCTATTTGCAACAAAAATAATGCAACTGTAAGGCACTGTTCTCTTTGAGTACTGTTTGAATAAAAAAAAAAGAACAAAACAGGGACATTTAAATTTAGTAAACAGTAATTTCATCTTAAATTGCTTTTATTTTCTGATCTGAAAGAGAAGTTGGCTACATACACATGGTGGCTCATGCCTTTAATTCCAGCACTTTGGGAATTAAAAGGGAGGGTGAGGCAGGAGGATCATTTGAGGCTAGGAATTTGAGACCCACCTGGGCAACATTATCCAGACCTCACCTCTACCAAAAAAAAAAAAATTACCCTGGCATGGTGGCGTGTACCTGTAGTCCTAGCTACTAAGGATCACTTGAGCCCAGGAGTTTAAGATTACAGTGAGCTGTGATCATGCCACTGCACTCCATGCACTCCAGCCTGGAAGACAGCCTGAGACCCTGTCTCTCAAAAAAAAAAAAAAAAAGGAAATGGAAAAAAACAAGTCAACTACAAATGTGCATCTTTCCTCCTGTTTTTATTGGTAATTTTCTCCGAAGTAAATCCTATAACTAATTTTCAGTGAAACCTCAGTCATGGCAAGGACTTTTAACTGTACTGAGTTAAATTATGCGGTAAATTTCTAAACAATACAGATAGTCTTTTTGGACAGAAAATGCACCTAAAAACTTTAAGACAAAAAACTATGCATTTGAGGATATAGAGTAATGTCTTATTGGGTTGAAGGTCTGAATCTTTTAAGAATGCCATAAGCAAACATAGCATTCTGTTTCTATGGCAGGAATCAGCAAGACGTTTTGAATCAATGTAAATAAGCAATAGCAAAAGCAGACAAAATCTAAATATTACATAGATTTTTAAGATTTCTAACTAATTGCTCACATAGGGGCACAAGCCAGCTGTATGTTCCAAATACAATCTCCACTAGTCTTCCTAATAAGAAAGTCTGTCTTAAAACTTTTTTTTTCCCCAAAGTGATGGCTTACTTATTATGAGAGATTATGGTGGAAAGACAGACTAATGTTCTAACAGTACCATTTTTTCCTCCAGATAGGATAATGTATTTATCACTAGAATGTCTTCAGTTTTCCATATTCAAAGAATATGTTCCAATGTAAAGGATGATGTAGAAACAAAATCTAGTCTTGCTTATGTGGCACTTAAAAAGATTAAAAAAAATTTTTTTTTTTTTTTAAAGACAGGGTCTCACTTTATTGCCCAGGCTGGAGTACAGTGGCACCACCAGGGCTCACTGCAGCCTCAACCTCCCTGGGCTCAGGTGATCCTGCTGCCCTCAGCCTCCTGAGTAGCTAAGACTACAGGTGTGTGCTAACATGCCTGGCTAACTCTTGCACTTTTTGTAATGGTGAGATTTTGCCATGTTACCCAGACGGGTCTCAAACTCCTGAGCTGAAGTTATCTGCCTGCTTTGGCCTCCCAAAGTGCTGAGATTATAAGCATGAGCCACCGTGTCCAGCCAGATTTTAAAAATTCTTTAATTTTGTTTTCCTAAGTGTCAGGCAGCATGATGGAAAAGAACACTTAATTTGGAGTATGAAGAGTTGGGTTCATGTTTAAATCTCTGAGGAACTCATATACTTCAATCAAAAAAGGAGGACAATACCACCTGCCTAAGTCACCTATCAGGAATATTGTAAGGGTCAAATAAAATACATGGTAGTGATTTTTAAATTGTAAAGAACTACATTAATGAAAAGTGTTATTATTCTTATTATATTGGAACTATGTTTTATTTTTTAATTCAAAGCTCTAAGCTACTTTTTAAAAGATTTATAAAAGCTGAGGCTTCAGGGAAATAAAAAAAATTCTAAAGTTGAATGTATTTGTTGATAAAAAACAGTTTACTTTAAACTTAAATGTGGCCAGTCGTGGTAGCTCATGTCTGTAATCCCAGCACTTTGGGAGGCCGAAGCAGGTGGGTCACTGGAGGTCAGGAGCTCAAAACCAGCCTGGCCAACATGGTGAAACCCTGTCTCTACTAAAAATACAAAAATTAGCTGGGTATGGTGGTGTACACCTGTAATCCCAGCTACTAGAAAGGCTGAGGTAAGAGAGTTGCATGAACCCAGGAGGCAGAGGCTGCAGTGAGTGGAGATCATGACACTGCACTCCAGCCTGGGTGACAGAGCAATACTCTCTCTCAAAAAAACAAAACCAACAAAAACCTTCAATGTGCCATAAGGGAATATAAGCCCCTGTTGGGAAATTTTAGGTAATCCGTTTTCTATTCTTAGGTAGTAGAAATTTTAAGTTTTCTATTTTCCCAGAACTAAATGCAATATTAAATTTGTTAAAGAATGAACACCTAAACTAACTCCTAAGAAACAGACCTTAAAGTTTTGTGTTTACAGTACCTCAAAAGTTCCTGTTTAAAATCTCTGAGATCCCTTCAAAAATTGGAATAAAAATGGCTCTCTAGGCTGGTACCTCTAGTCCACGTAGCTGGGTCTGCTGGCTAATCTGATGGTTCAATTGCTGCAATTCTAGTCGTAGCTGTTCTCTCTCAGCAGATGGAAGGGGTTTTCCATGACTGGCCACTTCTGACATAGATATTCTCTCCCTTTGTTTAGAAAGAAAGTGTGAAGCAAATTTTAATATTTTATTTTGTTAAAATATTACTAACCAGAAAAACAAAGAGAAGTTGCGTCATTTTAAAGGTTTCTACATGTTTGTTCAAGTAAAAAGAATGACTCATACCTCTCACTGAAGTGTCCCTGAGAAGGTATGTTTTGATGAGGTGAATATGGAGAACCTCCCCAGCCACTGTGGGTTCCATATGGACTATAATCTGTAAGAGAATGATTTATTATGGTATGATGTAATTCATTGATTCGATTCTTCTTTAAGGTACTCATAATCTAAAAGAAATCTTTGAATTAATTATATAGATGTCTGGTATCTACCCCAAATGACCAGATTTTTAAAATTCCTAAACTTTGTTTTTCTAAATGTCAGGCAGCATGACGCTAGGTGCTGATAGATGTTTGTTTCTTCCCCAATGAACTTTCAGTCTTTGTAGTTTTTCTTCTAGATTACTGTATAATGAAAATGCTATTCCCCCAAATAGCAATGAAGTTATATGGGGTGGGGTGGGGGGAATGGAAGAAACATTAAGAAAGCTTCATATGTAGACATTTAATTTCAGTTTATGTACCTAAAATTCTCTAGGTTATAAATACCTTTCTTACTGGAATGATTCCATGGAAAGTTTGACCATTACTGCCTTGCAAGATTACTAAAAACACTGATAGTAAATGGGGGCAGGGGTAATGCTGAAAGCCAAGATGATGAACCTTTTGGTCAGCTTACCTCTGAGATTCTTACCTGAAATGTTAATAGGCTTTGTAGGAGCTCCCTGAGGTGCCACAGCCTGCATTGGACCAGCACCCTGATATATAGTTTTGGAAGTTCGTGAGATGGCACCAAACCGAGACACTGTTGGTCGGTCTCCAAACGGGATGAGGTCATCATCACTGGTTTCTGCTGCTCTTCTCTGAAGATCTAATCGTTGGTCCCTCATTCCTTTACTCTCCACATTCTGATAAAAAAGCAAAATGAGAAATCCACCCTACACTCAGATCTCTCTGTAACCTAATTTTTTCTATATCTGTAATATGGTTAAAGAAGAGTACAACACTCTTACTGGTAAGACTAAAATCATTAGTTACCTTTGGTTGTTTTTATATAACACTTGTTTTTAAACCTCTGAGGTAAGGGAAAACAGGGTCTCACTCTGTCACCTAGGCTGGAATGTAGGGACACTATCATGACTCACTGTATCCTCAACCTCCCAGGCTCCAGTGATCCTCCCACCTCAGCCTCCCAGACAGCTGGGACTACAGGCATGCACCACCACACCCAGCTAATTTTTATTATTATTATTATTTATAGAGATGAGGTCTCCCTGTGTTGACCAGGCTGGTCTCAAACTCCTGGGCTCAAGCAATCATGCTGCCCCTGCCTCCCAAAGTGCTGGGATTACAGGTATAAACCACTGCACCTGGCCTAAGAAATGTATTTTTAAAGTTCATGGGAGGCCACTGTTTTGGACTAAGCTTCCGCACTAAGCCCCAACACACCAAATCAAATTAGAATGTAGTCACATGTGCTAGATGCCAGAAAATCAAACTGAATTCGAAAATGGGCCAGTTTTGGTTGGCCACGGTGGCTCATGCCTGTATAATCCCAGTACTTTGGGAGGCGGAGGCAGGTGGATCATGCGATTAGGAGAACGAGACCATCCCGGCCAACATGATGAAACTCCGTCTTTACCAAAATACAATTAAAAAAAAAAATTAGCCGGGCGTAGTGACACGCACCTGTAATCCCAGCTACTTGGGAGGCTGAGGCAGGGGAATCGCTTGAACCCAGGAGGCAGAGGTTGCAGTAGGCCAAGATTGCACCAATGCATATCAGCCTGACAAGAGTGAGACTCTGTCTCAAAAAAAGGAAAAAAAAAGAAGAAAATGGGCCAGTTTTCCAAAAACAGGAGATTCATAGCCTCAATAAGAGGACCACTCAATTTGAACTGGCATCATAAGCCCTTCTGCTTTAATCCTGTAAGAAAATTAACTTTGAAACAACTGATCTGAGCTTTGTTCCTTTTCTCTGTTTAGCTCATTAGAGTATCTTTCTATTTTCATATATGGAATGCTTCCTGATTAGTCAATCACTTAAAAGCCAATTCAATCTTTAAAAATATATACATATAATGACCCAGTATATATATGCATACAAATATATATTTATCCCTATACGTTACACACATATTTTATATACACACACACACACACACACATAAATATATAATTTGTATGCACATTAACATTTGAGAAATACTGGATTAGACTTCTTTCACCTATTTGGGAGGTTTTCAATTACCTCTAGATTGGATTGAAACTTTGTTTGATTTTGAGACAGTGTTCTGCTGTCACCAGTTGGAGTGCAGTGGCCTATGAGCCTCAACCTCCTGGGCTCAAGTGATCCTCCTGCCTCAGCTTCTCAAATAGCTGAGACCACAGGTGCCTATCACCACACCTGGCTAAAAATTTCTTGAAGAGATGGGGTTGCTATGTTGCCAGGCTGGTCTTCAACTCCTGGGCTCTAACAATCCTCCCACTTCGGCCTCCCAAAGTGCTGGGGTTACGTCTGGCCCAAACTTTTTTATTCTTTACTGATTTAAGAAAATGAGTTTTATTTTGCTAATACTCGTGTTACTGTATTATAACCCTTTCTGAAAGCCAAGTACAAAGCAAAGATTCCTGCCTAACTTCCCCTCATTTCATTCCAGTAAGAGCTTTACTGCAGCCTAAAAATAATGCTTCCCTAATCCGACCACAAAACAAATAAATAAAAGTAAAGGTTTATTTTGCTTTTTCTTCCTCTAAAACTCTCAATCTTGGGGGTGAAGGGAGGTTGGCACCTAATCGTATTTATGTTATTAGATATCACTTCACTCATTTACAGTAGTTATCAGCATCCAAATTTTTTTTATTATAAATATTGGTCTTAACCATTTGGAAAAGTATTTATGAAAATCTATATAACAATCTAGGAAACCTCTTTCAGAGTTAATAAGGACAAATGGGTTAAAAAAATAATAGTGAAGGCATATCTTTCAACCCAGCAATACCATTTTTTATTTTGTGGGATGGAGTCTCACTCTGTCGCTTAGACTGGACTATAGTGGTGCAGTCTTGGCTGACTGCAACCTCTGCCTCCCAGGTTCAAGTGAATTTCTTGCCTCAGCCTCCTAAGTAGCTGGGATTACAGGCGCCCCCCTACCACGCCCAGCTAATTTTTGTGTATTTAATAGAGCTGAGGTTTCACCATGTTGGCCAGGCTGGTCTCAAATTCCTGACCTCAAGTGATCTGCCTGCCTTGGCCTCTGAAAGCGTGAGCCACCGCACCTGGCCAGCAATACCACCATTTCTAAGCGTAACTTTTACACATGTGAAGACATAGTGCACTCCAGCCTGGGTGACAGAGTGGGATGCTATCTCAAAAAAAAAAAAAAGAGGACACATCTTAAAAGCAATGCTGAGTGAAAATATCAGCTGAAGTGTTTAATTTACATAAGGTCTATAAACATATAAAACAACACCGTTTAGAAATAGTATATTATTATTCATGGCCAGGCACAGTGGCTCACACCTCTAACTCCAGCACTTTCAGAAACCAAAGCAGGAGAATCGCTTGAGCCCAGGAGGTGGATGTAACTACTTCTTGAAAATTTTATTACTTTAAAAAATAAAAAGACAATTAAGATACTACCCAGGTAGGACAGCTCATGCCTGTAATCCCAGCACTTTGGGAGGCAGAGGCCGGAGGATTGCTTGAGGCCAGGAGTGTAAGATCAGTCTGGGGAACATAGCAAGACCCCATCTCTACCAAAAAAAGCTTTTTTTTAAATTAGGTGAGTGTGGTGGCATGTGCCTATAGTTCTAGGTACTCAAGAGTCCAGGAGTTTGAGGTTACAGTGAGCCATAATTGTGTCATTGCACTCCACCCTGGTGACAACATAAGACCCTATTTCTATAAAAAGATAAGATTTTGATAATATTTTAAACTTGGTTATTAGAAACACTGGTGTTACATGATTTTTCACTAAAGAATAAAATAACCCAAGTATAAAATTTCAGCATCTTAGAGTTCACTTGAAGCTGAGCAGCTATAATTCTGGCTCAAATACTACTCTTGTTCACTCGATTTCAACTTTGTTATTTAAACTTCAGAGTTGTAAAGAGTTTTAACTTATTTGGTGAAGAAATCCAAAATCTTCATTAATTATGTGAAATAATTTAATTTGGTTTGTAAACAACTGTTGAGAAATTGCTATTTGCATAGAAATATAACAACTTACCTAGGTAAGTATTAAATGATTTTTATTTACACCTAAATGAAACAAAAACCTATACATCTAAATGAAACAAAAACCTATATTATTTAATGATAACTCAATTGCAGAGTATAGAATATGGCCTGAAACTTTTAAGCAAAGCTGAATTATTTGTTCCTAAACTGTAATGGGTGAAAATTTATTTGGTTTACTCTTGATTTGTATTAATTATTGCTTAGCTATTACACATACCATCATTTCCACACTCCCTGCTGCCACAACATCTTTGGGTTTTGCATCTTTGGTTCCAATGTAGGAGCCGATGGTGTCACATGACCAGGGAGAGTACTGGCTATAATCATTTCCTTTGTATTTCCCAGCTACCTTCAAGTCTTCATCCAAAAACTACAGATGGGGAAGGGAAAAAAAAAAGAAAAGAAAAAACCAGAAAATGGGTCTATGAGTAACAAGACAGAGAAATCAGGGAATTTTTAGAACATCGTGCTGAAGCAACATAATGATGATTATTCAATTTTTAAGTGGCACAATAGAAGATTTTTGTAAACTATGAAAAATATAAGTGAAGAGTGATTTTTAGCTTTCAGTTTTCTTTTTTTTTTTTTTTACCTTAGCAGAAGGTAAAAAGAAAAAAAAGTATTTCAATCTCCTTCCAGAAATCAAGCTAGGATTTTATGGGTTTGGTCATCATTTTCTTCATTAGATGAGTAAACATTTAAGCATATATGTACCAAGCCATAGTTTTGTTAGACACTTCTCAATGTTTCTTTCAATAAAATCAAGGTAACCAAGCATATTAAAAATTTTGATTTTTATAGTACCTGATGATGTAGTAACTTTTTACTAAAATCTCTTTAATAGCACTAATTCGTATCTTGAATAAATTCTGCTCCTTGGGTTGATTCAATGAGATGAAAAGGATATCTAATTTTTATCTTAGGTAAGTTCTCCAGTTATCTAATAACAGAATAGCTATTCTAAGGCTAGTATTTTCACTAAAATTGCAACATTCACATTTATATAATGTTTTACATTTTCAAAGTGTTTTCATGTATACTATCTTATAAGCTCTTAATCCATGATAGACAACACAGGTGATATGACCAAGGCTATACCAGTGTAAGGCAGTGCTAGGACTCGAACTTTAATATTTTTCATTTTATAACAAGACACATATATGCTGATACCTAAGGGCTACTGGTTCATTCAAGTGGATCTATGCCTTCCCCTATATTAAACACACCTCTTTTCTGAGTCATCGTTTTTGGCCTTCTGCACTGACATAGGGTCTGCTGCTCACTAACATCACTCATTGTCAACAACTCTTCTGTTTCTATTATTCATAACCTCTTCCTTTTTCTTTGTCCTACTATTTCAAGTTTTTATCCTTATTTTTCTTCCACTTACTAACTTTAGATAGAACAGCCATCTTATAAAACACATAACCTAACAATTACAGTGCTCTTTTTTTTTTTTTTTTTTTTTTTTTTTTTGAGACAGGTCTTCCTCTGTCACCTAGGCTGAAGTACAGTGGCATGATCTTGGCTCCCTGCAACCTCCACCTCCCAGGTTCAAGCCATTCTCCTGCCTCAGCCTCCCAAGTAGCTGAGACTGCAGGTGTGCACTCCTACACCTGGCTAATTTTTGTATTTTTAGTAAAGATGAGGTTTCACCATGTTAGCCAAGCTGGTCTCGAACACCTGACCTCAGGTGATTCACCTACCTCGGCCTCCCAAAGTGCTGGGATTACAGGCGTGAGCCACCATGCCCAGCCAAGAGTTTTCCTTTTTAAAAATCTGACTGTAGTATGTTATATGCAGCTGTTTATATGAATGAGATAAATTTATATACTGACATACGAAGCCATGAAAATTGGTTAAGTAAAAACAAAAACAAAGGCAAAACAGACATAAAACCAAGATGTATTTACTAAGTGATCCTATTAAAAAAAAATGAGGTCAGGTGAGGTGGCTCACACCTGTAATCCCAGCACTTTGGGGTGCTGAGGTAGGCAGATCACCTTAGGTCAGGGGTTTAAGACCAGCCCTCGTCAAGGTGGTGAAACCCCATCTCTACTAAAAAGACAATTATCTGGGTGTGGTGGTGCATGCCTGTATTCCTAGCTAGTTGGGAAGCTGAGGCAGAAGAATTGCTTGAACCTGGGAGGTGGAGGTTGCAGTCAGCCAAGTTCATGCCATTGCACTCCAGCCTGGGTGACATTCCATCTCAAAAATAAATAAATACATAATATTAATAATGAGATCCAACAATCCCACTACTGGGCATTCATCCCAAGGAAAATAAATCAGCATATGAAGGGATATCTGTACCCCCATGTTGTATTCCCAATAGCCAAGATATGGAATCAACCTAAGTGTCCAGCAACTGATGATAAAGAAAATGTGGTATAGATACAATGGAATACTAAAAAAAGAATAAATCCTGTCATTTGCAGCAACACAGGTGAGCCCGGAGGACATCACATTAAGTGAAACTGGTCAGGTGCAGAAAGATAAATATTGCATCTTCTCACACATATGTGGGAGCTAAAAAGCTGAGTTACAGAAGTAGAGAGTGTACCTGTGGTTATGAGAGACTAGAAAGGGAATGCGGGTAGGGAAGGGGAGAGAGAGCTTGGTTAACAGACACAAAATTACAGCTACATAGGAGAAATTACTTCTAGTGTTCTATAGCAATGTAGGGTAAATACAGTTAACAATAATTTACTATATATTTTCTAAAAGCTAGAAGAGAGGATTATTTTCTATATTTCTTATAAAACAGTATGGCCTAACAAAGTTTCAGGGTATATGCTAATAAACAATTTTTGGGGGGAAAAAAAAAATCACAACTTTATTTTTTTCCTAATTTTTTTGAGACAGGGTCTTCGTTACCCAGGTTGGAATGCAGTAGCACAACCACAGGTCACTGCAACATGGACCTTCCAGGCTCAAGTGATCCTCCCAAGTCAGCCTCCCAAGTAGCTCGGATCACAGGCACGTTCTACCACACCTGGCTAAATTTTTTTCTTTTTTTTTTTTTCAGATGGAGTTTCAGTCTTCTTGCCAAGGCTAGAGTGCAATGGCAAGATCTTGGTTCACTACAACCTCCGCCTCCCAGGTTCAAGCAATTCTCCTCCTTCAGCCTCCCGATTACAGGCTGGGATTACAGGCATGCACCATTATGACTGGCTAATTTTGTATTTAGTAGAGATGAGGTTTCTCCATGTTGGTCAGGCTAGTCTTGAACTCCTGACCTCAGGTGATCCACCTGCCTTGGCCTCCCAAAGTGCTGGGATTACAGGCATGAGCCACTGCGCTTGGGTACCTGGCTAATTTTTATTTTTAAATTTGTAGGGATGGGGTCTCACTATGTTGCTCAGGCTGGTCTTCAACTCCTGGTCTCAAGCAATCTTCCCACCTCCGCCTCCCAAAGTGTGGGATTATAGGTGTGAGCTACTGCACACCTGGCTTTTACTTTATAAAGAAAACTACATTAATAGAAGACGCGACTTTACTAATAACCTGCATTTTTGTGGAAAATTCATCCAAAGTGTATAGATGGAAAAACTAGATGTTGTGAACAACTTCTATTTAGTAGATTTCCTTCATACACCCAACAAGATGCTGTTTACTATGTAAAAAGCAACAGAATGATGAGACTCCATCTCAAAAAAAAAAATAAATAAATAAAAATAAAGCAACACTGTCTAATAGAAATATAATGAGATCCACATATACAAGTAAAACATTTTTAGTGGCTGGGCACTGTGGCTCATGCCTATAATCCCAGCACTTTGGGAGGCCAAGGCGGACGGATCACAAGGTTAAGAGATCAACCATCCTGGCCAGCATGGTGAAACCCCATCTCTACTAAAAATACAAAAGTTAGCTGGGCATGGTGGTGCGTGCCTGTAGTCCCAGCTACTCAGGAGGCTGAGGCAGGAGAATTGCTTGAACCCAGGAGGCGGAGGTTGCAGTGATCCTATCAGCCTGACACCTGGTGACAGAGTGAGACTCTGTCCCAAAAAAAAAAAAAAAAACCAAAAACAAAAACAAAAAAACCTCAATAAATAAAAAGAACATTTTTAGTGGCCACATTAAAAACAAAAACACATAAAATTAATTTTAATCATAATTTTATTTAATCCAATATATCAAAAATATTAATGAATTTTATATTTTTGGTATTAAATCCTCAAATCCAAGTGAAATCAATTTTAATAATAATTTTATTTATTAATAAATGTTACATTTTTGGTATTAAATCCTTGAATCTAGTGTATATTTTATGACTCCAATACATATAAACCTGAACTAGCCACATACTACCTGTTCAATAGCCACATGTGGCTAGTGGCTACCATAATGGACAGCACAGATTTAGAGATCTGAAGTAATCCTAATCAAAACTGGAGCAGAGGTTTTTGTGGAAATCAATATGCTGATTCTTAAAAGAAAACAATACTAGAAAATATAGGCCAGGCACAGTGGCTCACACCTGTAATCCTAGCACTTTGGGAGGCTGACCTGTGCTCAGGAGTTCGAGACCAGCCTGGGAAACATGGTGAAACCCCATCTCTACTAAAATACAAAAAATTAGCTGGGTGTGGCAGTGTACGCTTGTAGCTACTTGGGAGGCTGAGGCAGGAGAATCGCTTGAACTTGGGAGGCGGAGGTTGCAGTGAGCTGAGATTGCGCCACTGCACTCCAGCCTGGGCCACAGAGGGAGACTCTGTCTCCAAAAAAGAAAAAAGAAAATATAACCACCACATATTGAGACTTATGATGAAACCACACAAAGAGAATGTGGCATTGGTTTCAAGGATAGAAATAGACTGACGGAAAAGAATATGGTCGAGAACATGTATGTGGTCACCTGATTATGATAAATCAGGGCACCAGGGAAAGCATGCTGATTTAATTAAATTGTGCTGGGTCAATGTCTTACAGGAAAAAAAAAAGGATCTCGACTCCTAAAACATTATATTACATACATATAAAAATCAGTTCTAGATGGTTTATGGAGCTAAATGATAATAAACCTTTTAGAAGAAAACAGGAAAAAAAACAAGACACACACACAAACACACTGATAAATGAGACTAAAAATGATTTGCTTACTTCTTCTGGATGAAAGGTAGGAGGCAAGGTTGGTGAAGGTGCAAAAGGAGGTGGAGAGATAACCTTTCTTTCTTCTAGCTGGGCCATTATTTCCTTTCGTCGGCGATGTAATTCATCTAGACTAGGATGAGGCTGGGGAGGAGGAGGAAGCCGGCTATAAGGAGGTTCCTAAAAACAGAAAGATTAGTTAAAATTGAAAGAGAATTTCAGGACAGATTAATTTGTTTAATATTCAGCATATAGGCCAGGCGCGGTGGCTCAAGCTTGTAATCCCAGCACTTTGGGAGGCCAGGGTGGGTGGATCATGAGGTCAAGAGATCGAGACCATCCTGGTCAACATGGTGAAACCCTGTCTCTACTAAAAATACAAAAAATTAGCTGGGCACGGTGGCGCGTGCCTGTAATCCCAGCTACTCAGGGCTGAGGCAGGAGAATTGCCTGAACCCAGGAGGTGGAGGTTGCAGTGAGCCAAGATCACGCCATTGCACTCCAGCCTGGGTAACAAGAGTGAAACTCTGTCTCAAAAAAAAAAAAAAAATATTCAGCATATATTTTAAGTTAAGAAGCAACTTGTATACCCTTCTTAACAATGGGAAATACCAAGACTTAATAGAACAATGGAAAACAAAACAAACAAAACCCCCCACATGCTTAAGATCTTCCAAAGAGCTAAATTTAGGTTTCTTTTATTTAGTCATAATTTCCAAGTAGATCTAGAATTGTTAATTAAACCATCTGAAGTTTAGAAACTAAGAATGGTTAGTTGTGGGGAAGGAGGCAAAATTTTTTCTCATTAATAGTTAAAAAAAAATACCCAAATTATGAAAAGAAAAATAAAAAAAGCTCTCTTATAAAAAAGAAGTTATCCAAGGGTTACTGTCATTCCACAGAAAGGAATCACTGCAAGCAATAATCAAATTAAGCCTATATAATAAGAAAAAAAATACAGCATACTCTGAGGTACGAAGCTCTGATCTGAGTTGGATGAGGAGCCACTGGATAGTAACTCTCGATCTGCTGGTATCTTTCTCTGGACTCTGGTACGTAGGATGGTACTGCTGCAGGTGGAATCTCAATGGGTATAGGGCTTTCTCGGAATATCTCTTCTCTCGTATAAGACTGAGCAGGGTACACTCGACGGCCATCATAGTGAGATGGGTATATAGGTGGGTACTGCTGTGGCTGTGTGCCATACTGAGAGTTTACAACACGATCTTGGAGGTAAGGTGGATAATGATCCAAGTAGGGAGGAGCAGGTTCAGGAGCAGATGGTGGAGGTCTGACAAAGCGGGACACACATTGTGGTGGTGGAGTATAATACATACCTGTACAGTATAATAGAAGAACCAAAGGCACTAATGAGCCCATCTAGTTTTCTATATAAGACTTTTACCTTTTAAAATACTGAAACACTAAAGTGTTGATAATCTACTTATTTCTTGAGAAGTTTTCCCTCTGCTTATATAATCAGGTTAACTTAAAAAAAAAAATAACAAGCAAAATGACCTGTAAAAGTCATTGAAAAAAGTACCCTGCTTATAATCTATAATAGTAGATTGGCTCTCATTGTTTGACTCTCTTTCTGGTGTGTCTTAATGCAATGAAGACATTGGAAAACAAAAAACTACATTTCCCAGATATCCTTGAAGTCAGGTTCTACAAATCAACGATTTGCATGAGTTTTGAATTTGAAATAACTGGGAGGAGACAAGGAACACAAAAGGCTAATTTTGCTGGTGCAGATTAGTAGTTACTACTTCGCTCTAGAGTTCTGAGACAACAGTTGTGGCAATAGTTTCTCAATTTTTGGACTTTTGCCTCAAATGATGTGATCTTGGAATTAAGTAGTGAGGACAGAAAGTTTCTATTTCTACTGCTTCCTCATTGTAACAAGTTCTCTTGCAGCTAGCTCTGGAGCATTGTTTGCTTCTCTAGGACCTCCACCAATATAGCAGGCACCTAACTCCTGTACTCAATCTCTTTCTGCTTAATATAGCTCAAATAATTCATCTTAAAGTGAAACCAGGCTACAAAAATGGTTGCATTTTTCCTATAATGGATAGTCAAAAGGAAGACACAAATCACATTTCATCATATTTTGCATGAATTAGTATTGCCATATCAATTAAAAACTATTCTTATGTATGTAGAGAAGACAACATGATTCGAAATTAACTGACAGACTTGGAAAAAGAAAAGAGGGATCTTTTAATCTATTTCCCTTTTAAAAATTATAGTACCATACTGCTTCTGACAGAGAGATCCAAAACTTACAATCATTCAGTATTTTACACATAAATTGTATATGTAAAACAGTTTATCTTCTTTCCTTCATTCTCCATACCTGGTATTATCATTGAAGCTGGCTAATTTTCAAATTTCTCTATTTTCTAAATTCCTTCTTCTCCTTTCCCACCACACTAATTCCTTAATTCTCACACCAGGATTAACAGTCTCCTAACAACTCTCATCTCTCCAATGCATTCATAATTTTTCTTTCTATTCCAAATACCTCTATTTGAGGCATTTCTTCTACTAAGTCTTTGATTCCTCAAGTTCTCAATGATTTCCCTTGAGTCTTTCAGTCTCTTTCTACCAAGCTAATATTAACCACCACAACAGATCACTTAATTTTTAACACATATATAACCACGCACATGCATATACTACTCACGCATAGAAATAGTTTTGTATTCTTCACCTTTATTTATTCTAGTCTGTAAACTCTCTAAAGGTATGCATGCTGCATTTTTCATATATATTACAGGGTTCAGAAAAATAATAATTACAAGGAAGGAAAATGTACTATGATGTTTAATTTACAAACACTGTAGCATTAATTCTTGGCCAGGCATGGTGGCTTACACCTATAATCCCAGCACTTTGGAAGGCCAAGGCAGGCAGATCACCTAAGGCCAGAAGTTTGAGACCAGCCTGGCTGCCATGGTGAAACACTGTTTCTACTAAAAATACAAAAATTAGCTGGGCATGGTGGCATGTACCTGTAATCCCAGCTACCTAGGAGGCTGAGGCAGGAGAATCACTGGAACCTAGGAGGCAAAGACTGCAGTGACTGCAGTGATCATGCCACTGTAGGCCAGCACTCCAGCCTGGGCGACAGAGCAAGACTCCATTAAAAAAAAACAAAAGTGAGAGAGAGAGAGAGAGAGAGAGAGAGAGAGAGAGAGAGAGAGAGAGAGAGAGAGAGTGTGTATATACAGTTTTTTTTTTTAATGCTTGAAGAAAATTTTAGTCAGGAGAATATATACTGCCCTACTCAGTAAATTTCCATTGCCTACTTGTGTGACTTGTTATTTCCATAAATATTATATATGAATGTTTATTATGCAACTGCTTTTAGTAGATAAGACAGTTTGATTTTTATTGCTTTGTTTCATTTATTTCATAATATTTAGTTGATCATAAAATCTCAATTTTTCCAAAGTATTAAAAAATGTATTTATCTATTTACTTAAGAGGCTACTGTGTAAAAGATCACTCTGATCTGAACGGTTCTCATAACTCCTAAAAAAAAGTGAGCAATATAAATGAAAAATAGTTACCCTGCTGATAAGGTGCTGGTTCAAATGGTGGAGCCGCTCCTCGAGGATCCTGATAATAAACATCTGTCTGTTGTGCTGGATATAACTGCGAACCTCGAGGTACCATCTGAAGCGGTTTGGTGACAGGCATTGGAGGCAGATCTGTTGGGCCCCTTGGAGGTATAGGATGTGGATTCACAGGTAAGGCAGAAATACTCTTAGGGACAGATTCTAGCCTAAGGGAATAAGATTATGGAAGTTGTTTAAGGTCTTATAAATTCTCATGTGCCCAAACTGTTACAAGTAAAAAAGATTGCTACAATTTGGGAAACTCACTTATTCTAATACTCATCCCTTCTACAAAATTTGCAAATTTTTATCTTATTTCTCCTATGCTAATTATTTCTCTCTCCCCACCTCCCCTTTTGAGACAGACTCTCACTCTGTCGCCCAGGATGGAGTGCAATGATGCAATCTCAGCTCACTAAAACCTCCACCTCCTGGGTTCAAGCAATTCTCATTCCTCAGTCTCCTGAGTAGCTGGGATTACAGGTATATGCCACCATGCCCAGCTAATTTTTATATTTTTAGTAGAAATGGGTTTCACCATGTTGGCCAGGCTGGTGTTGAACTCCTGGCCTCAAGTGATCCATCCACCTTGGCCTCCCAAAGTGCTGGGATTACAGGTGTGAGCCACCACATCTAGCTGTGCTAATCCTTTCTTAAAACACACTAGCATGAAAAATAGAAGTAAAAACCAACAAAATAAAGGCAAAAAAAAAATCAGTTTTTAAAAAAAAACCCAAACATTAATTATTTTCTTCCTTCGACTTTATAAAAAAAAATTTTGAAATAAGAGGAAAAATGACGTACAGGTCAGGAGGAGATCCAGGAGCACTACTGCTCAGATGATCTACTTTTCCTGGTTTCAGACTAGAATCATAGCTGGGGTCTGTCCCTCGTGGAATAAGCTGTGTTACTGTATTCCCTGCTGATACAATTCCATTTGGCAGAGCAGGAGGTTTTCTGTTAGGGAGATCCACTGCACCTTCATCTGGAAGGATAGTTGCTGAAGGCAGGCCCACCTCATTAAGTTGACCCAAAGAGGCACTCAAGGGTCTTCTTGGAACCAGGCGCTTGTTCATTTTGCGAAATCTATATAAAAAGCATAGACACATATCAAAAAGCAAATATAAAAGCAAAACCAAGATCTAGAATGTACTTAAGAACATTATTTTCTAGAAATATTCTCTCTTGAAACATTAACTCTTATCAACTTGAGAACTCAGTGTGTGTATTTTCCATAAAATCTCAAGTGGCAAGACATATTGAATAAGTATAAAATTCATCACAAAAATGTGTAACATAGGCCCGGTGCGCTGGCTCACACCTGTAATCCCAGCACTTGGGGAGGTTGAGGCGGGAGGATCATGAGGTGAAGAGATTGAGACCATCCTGGCCAACATGGTGAAATCCTGCCTCTACTAAAAATAAAAAATTAGGTGGGCATGGTGGCGTATGCCTATAATCCCAGCCACACAGGAGGCAGAATTGCTTGAACCAGAAGGCAGAGGTTGCAGTGAGCCGAGATCTGGCTCCACTACACTCCAGCCTGGCGGCAAAGTGAGAATCTATCTCAAGAAAAAAAGTGTTACAGTTTTAACATTATAAATTATGCAGTTAATATTTTTGCTGTAATATACTTCTGTGGACATTTGTATTTCTAAAAGTTATTGGAGAAGCTGGTAGGAAAATCTTCAGAAGACAGTTTCTGAAATATTTTACTTTAACTCGCCCTCAAATTCCCTGGGGTACAATGAGCCAACGTTAAAAATTAAGAATAAAAGAAAAACAAAGCCAGTATGCACTGTGAAACATTTATCATTTACTCTGTTACAAAATTTAAGCAGCTAGGCATGGTGGCTCATGCCAGTAATCTCAGCACTCTGGGAGGCTGAGGCAGGCAAATCATTTGAGCTCAGGAGTTTGAGACCAGCCCGAGCAAGATGGTGAAACCCTATCTCTACCAAAAATATAAAAACTTATCTGAGTGTGGTGGTGCATACCTGTGGTCCCAGCTACTCTGGAGGCTGAGGTGAGAGGATCACTTGAGCCCAGGAGGCGAAGGTGAGCCAAGACTGCACCAATGCACTCCAGCCTGGGCAGCACAGTGAAACCCTGTCTCAAAAAAATTTTTTTATTTTAGGCAATTAAAGATAGTGACTTTTATTAGAACTGCTTCAGAGATGCTGTTATGTGTGCCAATACAAAATGAAAGTCTTTTAAAAGTAGGTTAATGGAAACAATACAGAATAATTTCCTGAGTTTAAATAGATATGTGATACAATAAGCACATCGATCCTGAAATCTAACCAAAGGAAAAAATATAAGCCATCAGTGTCTAGGATCTTTGTTCCTCAACAATGAAAGCAAGTCCAATTACAACTACTAATGCATTTTTATTTTCAAATAAAACAGCGGCAGGGTGTGGTGGCTCACACCTGTAATCCCAGCACTTTAGGAGGCCAAAGTGAGCAGATCCCTGAGGTCAGGAGTTGAGACCAGCCTGACCAATATGGTAAAACCCCATCTCTACTAAAAATACAAAAATTAGCCAGTCGTGGCAGTGGGTGCCTATAGACCCAGCTAATCAAGAGGCTGAGACAGGAGATTTGCCTGAACCCAGGAGGCTGAGGTTGCAGTGAGCCGAGATCGAGCCACTACACTCCAACCTAGGCGACAGAGCAAGACTGTCTCAAAACATATATATATGATTAATAAATAAATAAAACCCCATCAGAGTAATGCTATTTTTTCACATTTCCCACAACTGACAAATTTCTGGATGTGGTGGTCGGTAGGGAAGAAAACTACCCTTCAGGGATAATTATTTTTGAGAGTTTGGTATATCATTATGGAACACTGTTCTTTTATATATTAGCTTTATATTCATATAAGATTATTATTTGCAGAAGTACAGTCATATATTACTGCTTAGTAATTTTTTTCCTCCACTTAATAATCTTGGATATTCCTTTATGTAAGTTCATTTCAGGCTGGTTTTTTCTTTTCTTTTTTTGCTATTAAAATAATGTGCTGGGAGCAATGGCTCACGCCTGTAATTCCAGCACTTTGGGAGGCTGAGGCGGGTGGATCACTTGAGCTTAGGAATTTGAGACCAGCATGAGAAACATGGCAAAACTCTGTCTCTATCAAAAATACAAAAATTAGCTGGGTGTGGTGGCATGCACCTGTGGTCTCAGCTACTCGGTAGGCTGAGGTGAGAGGACCACTGCAGCCCCAGAGTTAAGGCTGCAGTGAGCCATGATCGCATCACTGCACTCCAGCCTGGGTGACAGAGTGAAACCCTGTCTCAAAAAAAAAATGAGTAAAAAAGTAACAGATAATTATGAACATGTACTTGCACCCTGTGTGAATAACCAATAGCCAAAGGCAGAATGAGGTCAAAGGACATGCAAATTAGATAGAAATTTTTATGTCATACTGCTCTCTAAAACTATTTTAAATCCTACTAATCATGAAAAAAAAAAGTCTTTCAAAACCTCCTCAAATACTGGGTAGTACTGGTCTTCGTGAATTTGGTAGTCCAAAAACACTAAGTTGCTTTAATTTGCATTTCTTTAACAACTAGTGTGATTGAACATAGTTTCACAGGATAATTGGCCATTAGTATTTCTTCTGTGAACTGTCTATGTTTATGCTCCATAAATCTATTGGTTCCACTCCTTCTTACAGATTTGCAAGAGCTCATTTTATGTTAGGGTATCAGCCCCCATATGTCATTTCCTCACCAACCTTTTTATAAAAAACTTAAATTTATATCATATTTTAGTTTTAACATTTTTATGTAATCAAATTTATCAATCTTTTCCTTTATGGATGCTGAGTTGTTGTTCTTAAAAAATATTTTCCTTCTTTCCTTATTTAACAACTAAAAACAAACAAACAAAACCCCTCTTACTACTCTGTGGTTTCTTGCTTTCCTAAATATTTAAATCTCTTATACATCTAGATTTTCTTTTAGTATAAAGATTGAGGTAAGAATCCAGCTCTATTTTTCAAATAGGTGAGTTATTTTCCATCATTCTTTTGGTCACTGATATGAAATGCCACCTTTAACACATATGTTAAGCTCCTATATGCATCTCAAACTCCTCCTAGATTCTCTACTGCATTTCACTCATCTATCTATTCCTGTGCAAAAGACTATAGTCTTTTATTCACTGTAGTCCATAATGTTAATAGTTATTAGTCTAGTTCTTGTCAAAGACGTATTTTTCACAATGTTCTTGGCTATTTGTACCTATATATTCTTTACAAGTGAATTTCTGATAGGACTTTAACATGATCATGTTGAGATTTAAATTAGGATTTTTTGGAATTTATTGTTTATGGGAATATGTAACTTTTATAGCATCAAACCTTATACAAGAACACAGTATGTTTACTCAATATTTCTCTTATGCCCCTACGTAATTTATTGGTTCAATTTATACACATCCTGATTATTCTTTACAAATTTATTATTTGGTATTTATCTTTTTGTGTTGTTGCTAAAGCAGAAGAAATCTTTAATTGTAACTTATTTTTAAATTGGTTATGCCTCTCTTTTTAGTTTACATGAGGGCAATTCATTTTTATGATTTTTAAAATTTGCTTACTAAATTCTCATTTCTTTTGTTTCTAGTACTAAAGTTTTCCCCAATAATTTTATGACTATTTTATTCTTTCTTACATACATTAGCTACTATTTCCATAATGTTAAATAATAGTAGTAGAAAATTTTACTAATTACTGGCAGAAAATTTTGCCTTATCCTTGACTTCAATGAGATTGAATTAAATATTTTGCTAAGTAAGAGCTCATTTTATGTTAGGATATCAGCCCTCTGTATGTGATACTATTATATTGGCTTTTGATTTACAATATGATTTATTACCATGCTGAGAAAGTATGATATTTCTTTTAATTTTTAATTGACATTCAATTCCTTTGTCATTTTTTGGATATGATCATCTTTTTTTTTCTTGAGACAGTGTTTTGCTCTTGTTGCCAAGGATGGAGCGCAATGACGCAATCTCAGCTTGCTGCAATCTCCAGCTCCTGGGTTCAAGCGATTCTCCTGCCTCAGCCTCCCTAGTAGCTGGGACTACAAGCATACGCCACCATGCCCAGCTAATTTTGTATCTTTAGTAGGGACGGGATTTCTTCATGTTGGTCAGGCTGGTTTCCAACACCTGACCTCAGGTGATCCACCCACCTCAGCCTCCCCAAGTGTTGGGATTACAGGCATTAGCCTCCACACCTGGCCCAATCATGATATTTTCTAAGTTATAATCATTATATTGTACTACTTTTACACTGAGTCGTGGCATCTACTGTCTTCTTTTTTAAAAATTATATTATTCATACTAAAAACAAAAAAATCCTACAGCACCCAATATTCCCATTCCCAGGTAGTCTCCCATCCAAGTACTAACTGAGCCTGACCATGCTTAGCTTCCAAGATCAGATGAACTCAGGTGCATGCAGGGTGTTACACTCATAGACACAGCATCTATTTTAATGTATTATTGAATTATATTTAAATTTTTGAGATTTTTAATATTAATACGTGCAATAGATTTGCAGTTTTCTTTAATTGTTATCTTTGTTAAACTTAATGGCAATGTTACATTGGATTTATAAACAAATTAAGAGTTTGTATGTGGGTGTGGTGGCTTCTGCCTGTAATCCTAGCACTTTAGGAGGCCAAGGCAGGAGGCTCCCTTGAGCCTAGGAGTTTGAGACCAGAAGTATTTCAAATTTTGTATTTGTCTTGGATTTTGGGATATTTGCATATGCATAAGGAGATGTCTTGGGGATAGGACCCAAATATATAACAGGAAATTTATTTATATATATCTTTTACACATAGTCTGAAAGTAATTTTATATTTTATTTTAAATAATTTTGCTCATGAAGTTTTGACTGCTATCTGTCACAAAGTCAGGTGTAGAATTTTTGACTTGTGGTCTCAAGTCAGCTTTCAAGCACTTTTGGATTTTGGAGCATTTCAGAATTTCAAAAGAGGAATGGTCAAGATGTATAACATACTAAAAGTTTCCCAATTGTTGAATAAAGCACCTACTCTTTCTGTATTTCTCTATGTCAGCAAATTATTCTACTTAGATCTTATTCCGAAGTCTCCTTTCACACTTACTTTTCCAGTTCCTCCTGTGAGTGTGCAAACGTACAGCTGGCCCCACGAGGGCATCCTCCTCTCTGCTTCATATCTCGACACATGTATGTTTTGTATTTGCTATGCTGTGGAGGCTAAAACCAAAATCAAAACATTAGATGTGTAATAACCCCTCACAAAAAAACATAAATTGTGTGTTGTCATTTTAAGATCTTGATAATCTAAATAAGTAATTCACATGCTTATTTAGATAACCAAGAGCAAAAGTGCTGGAAAGTCTGAAGTCTCAGAGAGTTCAAACATATATAAAGCACAAACAAAGAAGGTAGTCCTAGTTTTCCTGATATGTTGATATTAATTCTCAAACAAGTAGCATTATATAAATTTGTGAATAAATCTCATTGGCATTCGTTGTTTTGTACGGAAAAAAAAAAATCTCATGCGGGTACTATGATCTCATTCCACATTTTTTTATTTTTTGAGACTGAGTTGCCCAGGCTGGAGTGCAGTGGTGTGATCTTGGCTCATTGCAACCTCCGCCTCCCAGGCTCAAGCAATTCTCCTGCCTCAGCCTCCTGAGTAGCTGGGATTACAGGTGTCCACCACCATGCCCAGCTGATTTTGTATTTTTAGTAGAGACAGGGTTTCACCATGTTGGCCAGGCTGGTCTTGAACTCCTGACGTCAAGTGATCCACCTACTTGGCCTCCCAAAGTGCTGGGATGACAGGCATGAGCCACCACGCCTGGCCCATTTCCACATTTTATAATGAAAAAAAAAACAAACCACTGTAGTTTAAGACTTTCAAACATATAAAAATTATCTTTCACAATATTTGTTCTGTACAATGTTCAATATAGCTATATGTATGTCTCCTTACAACACACCACAAAAACTACAAAAGGCCCTATAATCAAATTCTGTAACCAAATATTCCGTAACTAAGTCTTAAATAATATACCAAGGACTTAAAATATCTCCAAAAGTACAAATAAGACTTACTATTTACAACTCGAGGATAAGGCAAGAGGATGGAATTGAAAATTAACGAAATATAAGACACAACACTAAACTGGACAAAATTTAGTTTATTTTATCACTATATGGCAAACTTTAAAGGTTCGTCTTGTTACTTTTGTTACTTCTTCAAGATGTCTACTGAAACAGAGTTAAAAATTCGAGGTTCTCCTTTCTTTTATGCCTAATCACAAGGCTCTGACCTGTGTTTATATAGGTTAGGAATATCACACCCAGATTATTCTACTTAGCAGGATACTTTTTATATTTCTTGCCTCTTAAGCAAAAAGGAATACTGAAAAATCTATTAATATTTACCCGAGACAGGTAAATTAAGAGTTTTAAGTTCACAGGCTTACTACTGCAAAATAAAAGATCTAATAAACAATATAATTCCTGAGGGCAAAATAAAATTACTGGGAATAAAATGTAAAACTTCAGCTATGTTATTATATTCTACTGTTGTATTTCATCTAAAAACTTTGAGGAAAATATGGCCCACTGGCATAAGAGACATTATGAATGAAAAAAATCTTAAGGTATTAATATAAGAAAATCTATAGAAACTTGAATAGTATTGGAAAGATACCGTATTCAGCACTAAAAAGTGACACATCATCAAACCAAAATGTAAAACAAACTAAAGAGAATATTAATCTTATATAAATGGAATGAACTTCAGCACTGAATCTATTTTCTCCATCAAATGTTGCCATATCCAATGTGAAGACTGACTCCAACACAACATCAGATCAATAAGGATTATTTAATGTCAGTATTATCAGCTAAAATCACCAGGCCAATGCAGTAAACAGTTAACCATGCCAAGGTAATTTATAGTTTCTATAGTCAGGGGCTCAAAATATTTATGTCCTGTTTTTGGCTTTGTATCTGTAGGAATACCCACAGCAGTCTACCTATAATTTTAAGGCACATTCACGGTAGGTTAACTCTAAGTTTTAAATAGCTTTCTTACCTGCTGCTGATCTGCTCCTTTTTTGCTGTGGTTCTGGATATAATCAACCAGTCCATGTACCACTGTACGCACAGCAACCAGCCCATTTTCCAGCTGTTCCCACGTAGGAGGAGGAGCATCTATACAACCAATAATAATGTTTTAAACTCTAAGTTACTCAATATTTTTCCCAATATCAAATTAATAAAGGAGTTAGTGGACAACATTTCAGTGAAATAAAGTTAAGCTTTACGCCTTAGCGTTTTAGGTAACAGCTTATTCACCTAACCATCATCTCCCAGTTTTAAAATGTTGGCATCTAACCAATTTAGAACATTGCTCAGACCATCACTGTGTGGACCAAACAAAACTGAGGACTGCCTATAGTTAGTCAATTTGCATGTTTATTTTGAAGTTTTATATAAATCAAGTTTTGGTAAACAAAAAGCTTAAAACGTTTAATAGAGGAGCTGTTATATAAAGCAACTCTGCTACATGTCTTCTTCATTTAGTAGATATTTGCCCAGTGCCAGCACTATGATTTTATAAAGAAAAAATTATCTGTACGGCTAAATATAAAATATTCTTTAAAAGGAATATATAAAATGAAATAATAAGAAGAGAGATTAAAAGATAATTTCCTGCACAGATACCCTGAAAGAATTCTAGGTGATGGCATTTAAACTGGGCTTTGAAGGACACATAGAATCTGAAAAGGAAAAAAGGTGAAGAGAACAACCATTCAAAAAAGTAGTTTTTGGAACATTTACAAAATCTGAGTTGTTGTTTTTGTGGTTGGAAAAGCAATAGCAATTAAAACAAAAATCCCCATTATATTCAAGGAGAAGAGCCAGAGAACAACCAAGACAAATAAGTGAAATACAGAGTAGTACTTAGATAATGATGAATTGCAAAAGTAGAGCTAAGAAGAGAAGTGGGACCGACGTGTAAAATTTGAGAGAGAGGCCAGAAAAGTCCTCCTTGAGAAGGTTGCATTTGATTAAAGACCTGAAGGAAGGGTTTAAGAGTGCCTACTGGAGATGATAGGGGAAAAACATCCAAGTTAGAGGGAAGAATAAGTGCAAAGTCTTTGATGTGAGAAGTGTGCCTGGCATGTTACATGGAGGCGGAACCAGAGAGGAGGGAATTAAATGAAAAAAGAGTAGGAAATGAGGCTGGAGAGAGGTAATGGAAAACCAGACCACATGAGGCTCTGTAGATCACAGGAAAGATTTTGGCTTTTACTCTGAGTGCTAGAAAGCCACTGGAGAATTTATGAGAGGAGGGTGATAAGATTACTCTGGCTCTTGCTAAAATCAGACAGACAATGGAGGCCATTCCATAATCCACGGAGAGATGGGGATGGTAGCAGTGAAGGTAGATGGATGCTGGATGGATTTTAGAGGCAAGGCGTACAGAATTTGCTAATGGATCAGATATATATTATGAAAAAAAGAAGAGTTGAGGTTTTTGGACTAAGCAACAGGAAGGATAGAGTTGCCACAAACAGGATGACAGGGAAGAGCTCATTTTTGGATAGATTCAGTTTGAAATGCTTATCAGATATTCAAGTAGAAATGATGGATGTTGAGAAAGTTTTATAAACAAATTCAGGAAAAAGGCATGTGCTGGATATATATTTCAAACTCCAAAAACCTATCAATTGTAACACATATTTTATGTACCACGAAAGAAAAAAAGATCGTTAATTATGTCTTTGTACAAATGCATTCCAATGTCAGAAATGCTAAGATCTGAAATAATTCTAAACCTCAGAACTGATAAAATACAGTAAATTTGTGAGTCACATAAATTAAACTTGAAAATGAGACAGATAAGATTATCTAGGAAAGAGGGACACATAGAAACAGAAACACTCCAAAGATGATAAGATATGGAGATGAGGAGAAAGCAGAGGATGCTGACAAGGAGTAGCCAATAAAGTAAAAGGGAATTAGTAGCCAAGAAAAAAGCGTTTCAAGGAAGATAGAGCGAAGAACAATGTTGGCCAGGCACGGTGGCTCACACTTGTAATCCTAGTACTTTGGGAGGCTGAGGCAGGCGGATAACCTGAGGTCAGGAGTTCAAGACCAGCCTGGCCAACTTGGTGAAACCCCATCTCTGCTAAAAATACAAAAATTAGCCGGGTGCGGTAGTGCAGCCTGTAATCCCAGCTACTCAGGACAAGAATTACTTGAAGCTGGGAAGCAGAGGTTGCAGTGAGCTGAGATCGTGCCACCGGACTCCAACCTCAGGGACAGAGTAAAACTCTGTCTCAGAATAAGAACAATGTTAAATGCTAAATCTGGGAGGCCGAGGGGGGTGGATCATGAGGTCAACAGATCGAGACCATCCTGGTCAACATGGTGAAACCCCGTCTCTACTAAAAACACAAAAAATTAGCTGGGCATGGTTGCGCATGCCTGTAATCCCAGCTACTTAGGAGGCTGAGGCAGGAGAATTGCCTGAACCCAGGAGGCGGAGGTTGCGGTGAGCCGAGATTGCGCCATTGCACTCCAGCCTGGGTAACAAGAGCAAAACTCCATCTTGAAAAAAAAAAAAATGCTGCTAAATCAAGTACATTAAGAACTGAGAACTGACCTTTGGAAATAGCTACATGGAAGTAATTTATGACCTTCATGAAATAAGTTATAGAGCAGTGGAGATAAATGCCTGACTGGAGCTGAGTTCAAGAGAGTGCCATAAAAAGAAATGAAGTAGTAGGTAGATGAGAAATGGGGTCAAAAATGGATTAGGACCTTGTGGAAGTACTCTTCTGACTGCTCAGGATGATCAAAGCACAGCAGTCAGGGGAAAAAAAATCACTATATATTCGAGTAACATTGATCTGGTTTATTAAGCAATTTTGGGAGTAAATCTATAAAAGCAGGCTAATAAAAAACTAAGAGGGCTCTGAATGCCATAGTGAAGGGTGTCAAACCTTATTCTATAAGCAATTCTATAATCACTGAAAATTTATGAGTGTGGAAGCAAGATCAGGGATGTGATTTATTTTACAACAGTAAGTAGACTGGATTGCAGGAACTCATAGAGGAACTTGGAAGACATTCAGTTTCAGGGAAAGGGAATGAGGCTCTCAAAGGAAGTAATTATAAGCAGGGGATATAGGGACATTGTGAAAGAAGAACAGATAAATCCTATTATATGAAACGGTAGGCAGAGCAAGTGAAAGGAAAAGAAGAGGCAAGACAAAATTAGGTTTTAAACTTGCGTACTCAGATAATGACGTCATTATGAGAGAGGAAACATTAGAGGAAGAGGAGGTATCAAGTAATGATGAGCTTGCTTTGAAGCACTCAAAGAATCTCAGCAAGCATTGGGAGATGTATCTGGAGTGATACAGAGATAACAGTGATAGAGATATTTAGCAGACTGTATTCTATGCAAAGGTAATATCTGATACCAAGAATGAATAACCACCATCAGAGCACACAGAGAAGACAAAATTCTAAGAGCATAACCTGGCTACTCTTTAGTGGGGAAGAGGGTAAAGCCTGGTACAAATAAGACAGAAGTAGCATTCAGGTCAGAAGAGAACTATGAGATCACAGAAAGTTATCAAAAAAGTGCTCAACAACATTATCAAATGCTGAAAACAAATGAGGGTGATTTAAAGACTAAGAAAAAGCTTTCGGAATCAGAGACTGGGAATCTACTAGCGAATATTAACATAGCTTCAGATCAGTCGTAGGAATAAACACAGAAAAGCTAAGATATCTTAGATGTAAGTATAAGGTGAAAAATGAAGGTTGGGTATATTTTCAGGTTAAGAAGGAGCAGAAAAAGGCTGAATAAGTAAAGATACACAAGAGAGGACACTTCAAAGAACAAAATATCATGGAGAGGGCAAAAACAGGATCAAGGAAATGCAACTAAGAATATATAATGCAGAAAAAAAATGAGAAAAACGAGATTTGGCAGAGGTAAGAATGGTAAAATACAATGCAATTTTGTGATGGGAGAAAGAAACATAAAGGGGCCCAGAGATATCTACTGTCCTGATGAAATGAGCAACAGTGTAAAAAGCATGAAATAAATAGTAAAGTGAACTAGGCTGGGCGCCGTGGCTCATGCCTATAATCCCAGCACTTTTGGGGGCCGAGGTGGGTGGATCACCTGAGGTTGGAAGTTTGAGACCAGCCTGACCAACATGGAGAAATCCTGCCTCTACTAAAAATACAAAATTAGCTTCCAATACAAGACCTCCAAAATAAAAATAAAAATAAAAAATAATACAAAATTAGCGGGGCACAGTGGCACACCCCTGTAATCCCAGCTGTTTGGGAGACTGAAGCAGGAGAATCACTTGAACCCGGGAGGCGGAGGTTGTGGTGAGCTGAGATAGCGCCATTGTACTCCAGCCTGGGAGTGAAATTCTGTCCGAAAAAATTAAGTCAAATTAAAAAAATAATAAAGTGAACTAACCTGAGACAAAGAGGGACAAGATTTAAAATGGAAACTTAAAATACTGTAAAAAATATCTGGAAATAACAAAAGATAATTAAAGAATCATTGCGCAGCACTAAAGGCACATATAAGATAGTCCATGAATTTCCTGTGGGTTTACCTGGACTAGGGTCAATGTTTGCTAACAGCTCCAAATGGGGTCTTAGTCGGTTCAAGTTTGCTGGGTCTCCAGTCCGCTGGAGAGCAATTGTTAGTTCCTGAACGCTCTGTGCAAAAGAGGCTGGGGTCTGCAACTTAAAAAAGATAAATGTTAACTTTCCCAAAGGCCAGATAATCATTTAAAGATAATTTATCTCAAAATCGTTTTTGCGATTTATTAAATTTAATTTTCATCTTCCCATACACCCTGCACTTTGGCCAGACTAGATTACTTGCTACCCAAATAAATTCTGTACTTCTCTGCATCCACAGCCTGGCACATTGTATACTGTACTGCTTCTGCTGTCACATTCTTCAAATGTGAGCCCTCTCTCAATTCAGCCTCCCATCAATTAGATATATTAATGAGTCATCTTGTGAATTGTTAATTCATGTTTCTCTCTCCATTAATTGACTAGAATGAGTGCTTTTCTCATCATTTTTAATAAATTCTCTTTTGCATTATTCAATATGGTAACCTTAGCAACATATGGCTAAATTTAAGTTAATTAAATAAAATAAAAATTTCAGTTCATTGGTTGAACAAGTCACATTTCAAGTGCTTAAAAGCTATGCGTAACTAGTGATCACCATAATGGACAGTGCATACACAGAACATTTTCATGATCACAGAAAGTTTATTGCTCTAAAAAATATCACACACACTGCAAAGTTTACCAGTTTGTTGTACAAAGGTCTCTGGATATTAAATTTAAAGTATTGTGCAAGATGCAAGAAAATTACTGTAGGATATACACCTAGTTATATAGTTCATTTCAGGCAGGAAGATTAACAACTTGTAGAATCTTTATAAAAAGCAAGCCAAGTTTCTCTTCAGAAGTAGAAAGGTACTCCTTTAATAGATCATTACTAAGGGTTTCTGTAAATTATAATCCGTTGCAAAACTTCAGATACAAGCTCTTATCCAAACCTAAGAGTTGCAGGTAAAGTCTAGTTAAAGGTATCCAGGGAAGACTTTATAGGGCAGAATGAACAACCTACATTGTAATTGAAAATTATGTACCACCTTTTTTTTCCCCCCTAAGGAGACAGGGTCTCACTCTGTTGCCCAGGTGCTAAGATAGCTCACTGTACCCTCAAACTCCTGAGCTCAAGGGATTCTCTTACCACAGCCTCTGGGACTACTGGCACTAGCCACCATACCTGGTTATTTTTTTTGTGTTGTTTGGTTTTTTGGTAGAGATGGTTGTCCCAATCTTTCCCAGGCTGTGCTTGAACTCCTGGCCTCAAGCAATCCTGCCACCTTGGCTTCCCAAAGTGCTGGGATTACATTCATGAGCCACCATGCCCATCCTACACCAAGTGTGTAAAAAACACATTTCCCAATTCTCTTTTGACATCACTGTATTGCCCATTCAAGGAATTCTATCTTTAGGAATAGTAAAAAAAAAAAAAAAAAGGAAGGGAAAAAATAGTTTGGATAGTTTGGTAAAAGATTAGTGGTTAAGAACATGATTCTACAGTGAGAATGCCCAAGTTCAAATCCACTTCTATCACTTATTATCTATGTGATGCTGGAAAAACATATTAACTTCCCTTTGTCTTTGTCTAAAATGGATAATACAAGGCTGTTGAAAGGATTAAATGAGTTATTTAAAACGACTAGATACCATTTTAGTAAATGTTAATTATTTGTTTTTTAGTTTGATCTTACTATTTGACTCTATTTCTTTAAGTTAAATGTAGAGTGGTCTATAGAGTTGGCAATCATCTCTGTGATTCTAGTATTTGAGATACAATAGTAAAATTGCTGGCGCAGTGGCTCACACCTGTAATCCCAGCACTTTGGGAGGCCAAGGCGGGTGGATCACCTGAGGTCAGGAGTTCGAGACTAGCCTGGCCAACATGGTGAAACCCTTTATTAAAAATACAAAAATTAACCTGGCATGATGGTGGATGCCTGTAATCCCAGCTACTCAGGAGGCCAAGGCACGAGAACTGCTTGAACCTGGGAGGCAGAGGTTGCAGCGAGCCAAGATCATGCCACCACACTCTAGCCTGGGTGACAAGAGTGAAACTCTGTCTCAAAAAGAAAAGATACAATAGCAAAATTAAATAATACTATTATAGAACATATTATATATTATATGGTGTTTTAAGATTTCTTTTTTTTTTTTTTTGCACTGTTGCCCAGCTGGAGTGCAGTGCCAGAGATCTTGGCTTACTGCAACCTCCTCCTCCTGGGTTCAAGCGATTCTCCTGCCTCAGCCTCCTGAGTAGCTGGGATTACAGGTGCCCGCCACCATACCCAACTAATTTTTGTATTTTTAGTAAAGATGGGGTTTCATCATGTTTTTATAGCACTTTCATATATTTCATGTTGATTTACAATAAAAACAGTTATAGTATTACTCTGATTTTAAGAGAAACATGACTCTTAGAGTAAAGATACAAATAATGGAGCCTCCGCCAGGGGTGGTGGCTCACTCCTGTAATCCCAGCACTTTGGGAGGCTAATGCAGGGGAATCACCCGAACGCAGGAGTTTGAGACCAGCCTGCGCAACATAGTGAAACCCCATCTCTACTAAAAATACAAAAAGTTGGCCGGGCGAGGTGGTACATGCCTCTAATCCCAGCTACTCAGGAGGATGAGGAAGGAGAATGCTTGAACCCAGGAGGCAAAGGTTGCAGTGAGCCAAGATCATACCACTGCACTCCAGCCTGGGTGACAGAGTAAGAATGTCTCAAAAGAAAAAAAAAAGGCAAATAATGAAGCCTAACCTAAAACTCACATCTATTGTAATGGCCTTTTCATCATAATAGACAACAGATAAAATAAATATGTGTACTGAGAATTTGATCAAACTTGGAAAGGTGGTAACTTTCTTATTTTGTATAATTTTTCTGGTGGGGAATCACAAGAATCCTCAATGTATAGATCTTCCAGACCATTAAATGTCTGCTATAGAAAGATAATAAAAGCATTTAGAAAATGGGTTTAACACGATGATCAAAACTCTTAAGAGAACAGTAAATGAAGGTAGAGGCAATGACAAAATAGAAATGGCAGACTCTCAAAGGAATGTGGGAAAGTATTGGATAAAGCATTATAAACCAATCTAGCCAGAGTGTGGTGGTACATGTCAGTAGTCCCAGCTACTCGGTAGGCTGAGACGGGAGGATCAGTTGAGCTCAGAGGATCAAGGCCACAGTGAGTCACAGTTGGGCCTGGGCCACAGAGTGACACCCAGACTCAATATAAAATAAAATAAAAAATAAACCAATCAAATCTTTAAATGAACAAAGTAGTACTGTAATGTGATTAGTTATGACATGACAGTTGGCTATAAATACAATTTACAAAAGCTATACAGTGTTCACTTTAACATACATTTGTTAAATGAATTACCAAATCACAGATTACCAAAACTCCAAGATTAGTCTGAGAAGTAAGGAACAAAAAAGGTTCTACCTTGTCAATAATGGACTGCATGTGAGATTTATGAGACTGGTCTCCATAAAGCAAAGAGGACCATTGGTCTGGTGCAATTCGTAAGCCTGCTTCCATAGCAATCTGCACTATCTGGGAGTCATGTTCTCGCCGCAGAGCTTCATAAGTTCTAAATTCTTCTTTCAGCTGCATCAAAGAAGAGTCTTCATCACGTTTGGTGACCTAGTAAGACACAAACAATCTCATAATGAAGTTTAAAAAATAAGTTTATGCTTTATATGAACACATAATTTTTAACATAACAAATTTAGCAGCAACAGCAAGATTAAAATGGAATATACCATTTGCCTGCAAAATATTTTCTCTTCAACTTGTTGAGGTAGGTATATTATCATCCCAATAACTTACATTCTGAATCAAGTTGGATTTAGGCCAACGTTTTCTGGTAGGTCTTTCAGAAAGCATCAGTACAGGCTGAAAATCTCTTATCCAAAATGCTTAGGTCAGAATTGTATCAGATTTCAGATTTTTTCAAATTTTGGAATATCGGCATTAAACCACTTGAGCATCCTTAATCTGAAAATCTGAAATGCTCCAATGAGCGTGTGAGCATCATGCTGCCGTTCAAAAGTTTTGGATTTTGGATTTCTGTGTTAGGGATAGTCAATCTGTATGTGCTGGAATGAAATCCAAAGATTTGATAGACTTTAACACATACGTGCAGTTTAAGGTGTATGTGTATGAATATGCATTTTTGAAAAAAAGTAAACACTAATACAATTATATATTCTGAAAAACAATACATTTCTTCTCCATAAATATGGATTGTGACTCCTGGGCTTGCCTGACAATGAGCTGGTTGGGACTGATCACTGTAGAGCTTCAGATGCCGGTGTGATTCTAAAAATGATTTAATTTCTACTTGCCTTAATTTTCCATGGAGTTTTGTGGGATGGGCTCCTACCAGAAAGTGTAAAGTGTGAGATGCTAGACTAGTCATAATAATGATAATATCATTTAGTAATAAAAATAGCTACCACTTTTTCAGCACTTCGTATGTGCCAGCCAATATATGAAATTACATTATTAACCATTATAGTGCTGGATTAACTCATTTACTTCTCTTAACTTGTTGAGATAGGTATATTGATATCACCCCAATAACTTATATTCTGAGTCAAGTTGGATTTAGGCCAAATGCTTAACAAATCAAAGTAAACTAATTAATTCTAGTCTAAGATAACCTCTACCCTAACATGTTTTAGAACACATTTTGCCTTGTTAACCTTTATTACCACAAGGACTCATCTTGTTGTACAAAATTCCCATTTTTATCCCTCTCACCAAAGAAACTACAAAATATTGTAATCAGGACTTCTAAGCCACACTGCTATAAACTTAACATGAGTGGTGGCATGTGCCTGTAGTCCAGCTCCTGGTGAGGCTGGGTGGAAGGACTGCTTGATCCCAGGAGTTGAAGGCCAGCCTGGGCAAGACTCTCTCTCTCTCTCAAAAAACAAATTAATAAATACACGTATACATTGTTTTTTGAGACAGTGAGTCTTGTGGGATGTATTCTATTAGAACACATTTATTCATTACAAGGAAGAAAGTTTAACTTACATTTTGTTAGAAACATACATATACAAACTAAATTGATAAAAATCAAGAACTACAGTCACAAAAACTGAATATATTGTGCCATTGTTAAAAGGCAAGCCAAAAGCCCAAATGCATATGCTTAGCATCCCCTCAATATATGCTGAACCTCACTAAAACGCAGAGTATGCTTTCTATATGTAATAATGGTTCCCCAAACTCGGCTCTCACCACTCTCTTTAACTAAAAACGATCAAGGATTTCCAAGAGATGAAACGTCTAAGTCTCAGAACTTTATTCTATTAAGAAAGAACAAATCATCCTGCAGCTCAAAAAGGCCTTTCAAATGGAAATAGAGGAGATACTAAAAGGACCCAGCCAGAACACAGCTGCATGGACACATATTCCTGCAAGGAAAATAATGACCTGAGTGAAAAAGCAGATTTTTGCAAATTTCCAATTTTCTTTATTCCTGTTAATGCCTTTTTTTTTTTTTTTTTGAGGTGGAGTCTCGCTCTGTCGCCCAGGTTGGAGTGCAGTGGTATAATATCGGCTCACTGCAACATCTGCTTTCTGGGTTCAAGCAATTTTCCTGCCTTATCCTCCCCAGTGGCTGGGATTACAGGTGTGTGCCACCACACCCAGGTAATTTAAAAAAATTTTTTTAGTAGAGACAGGGTTTCACCATATTGGCCAGGTTGGTCTCAAACTCCTGACCTCAAACAATACACTTGCCTCAGCCTCCCAAAGTGTTGGGATTATAGGTGTGAGCCACTGCACCCGGCCATATTACTGTTAATGCTTTAGAGTTCAGAGAAGTTCACTTCATGGGTATTCTGGGTTTTCTTGATCATGTATTCTTCTTCGCAGGGGAAGAAGAATGTTTTCTTTCTATTAAACTCACAGGGGAAGATTGAATGTTTTCTTTCTTTCTTTTAAACTCACAGGGGAAGGTTGCATTTTTTCTTTCTAAAGCTTCCTATATTATAGCTGTCTGGTGCTGTTAATGGACAACAATTAACACTGGAAGCAGACAGACACTCTAGAATGTAGTCTGTAAACATGATTTACTACATTGTAAAATCATGTTACTCTAACCGCTACAAGTGAGTTACTCAGAGACAATCTGACCAGTTAAAGTAATTTTATCTAGGGGTTCTTACAGCTCCAGAGGCACCAACAGAAAATAGAGGCCCGTTTTCAGTATATAGTCTGACTCCACAAAGAAACAGAATAAGGTCACCATTTAGCTAGAGATTTAAAATTGTTTTTGTTTAAATGAAATCTGTATGCTCTCCTGTTAATTTTGTGAACGATTTCCTCCTTCTTAAAGGATGAGATAATAGAATTTAGTAGGATAGCTAATGTGGTGGTTTTTTAGTTTATGTGTGTCAGATGACTGAATGTGGTGATCTGAGAATGTATTTCCTTACAGCTAACATGAATGAATTAACAATTATTTTAAAAAACACGGTTTTCAAGTACTGGTTATGAGATGTGCCAGAATCAAGACAGTTTAATTTTTAAAAGTCAGGAAAATAGGCTAGTTGCGGTGGCTCACACCGGTAGTCCCAGCACTTTGGGAGGCTGAGGTGGGCAGATCATCTGAGGTCAGGATTTTAAGACCAGCCTGGCCAACATAATGAAACCCTGTCTCTACAAAAATTAAAAAAAAAAAAAAAGAATTAGCCAGGTGTGGTGGCAGGTGCCTGTAATCCCAGCTACCTAGGAGGCTGAGGCAAGAGAACTGCTTGATCCAGGAGGTGGAAGATACAGTAAGCTGAGATTACGCCACTGTACTACAGCCTGGGTGACAGAGCAAGACTGCGTCTCAAAAAAAAAGAAAAAGAAAAAAAAGTCAGAAAAATAATACTGGATGCACCATAAATGGTACATAGTGAGTAACAATATTTGAGGCAGCGCTGATTCAATTTGGGATAAGGGACTACGTCCAGCATTACCATATAAACTGAAATGGCAAATGGAACTTCATTATTGTATATGAGAAATTACACTAGGAGAAAATCTCTGAATAAAATTTATTTGGTGACTCACACTTTTGATCCCAGCACTTTGGGAGGCCAAGGCAGGCAGATCACCTGAAGTTCAAGACTAGCCTGTTCAACATGGCAAAACCCCATCTCTACTAAAAATACAAAAATTAGCAAGCCAGGCTAGGCTGGCCCTGCTTGTAATCTCAGCTACTCAGAAGGCTGAGACAGGAGAATCACTTGAACCCAGCAGGTGTAGGTTGCAGTGAGCTGAGATCATACCACTGCACTCCAGCCTGAGTGACAGCAAGATTCCATCTCAAAACAAATAAATAAATAAAATTTATTTGTGCTTCAACAACTCTCTCTTCAGACCAATTCTGCATAGTCTTGGTAAGAAACTGACATAGTTTCTTAGTCTCTTCAAATACAAAAATCTATAAACCTTGATTTGATCTATACTGTTCAATACTGAACATATAAAAATTCAATATAATAGGATTTAACTATAATAAGATACTATCTACATTCTTTAAAAGAATAAACAAAAATTGCTGAAATTTTCTGAAAAGACACAGGCAACTTCATTAAAGTCAAAGTTTTACTACTTAAGTTTGGGGAAAGAACAATGTTTTCCTTTCAAGCTGAGCTTTAAGGTAAGTTCATACCTTGAAACAGGAGGCTCTATAAAGGAGCTGAACAACATGCCCAATGCTAGTTTTAGAGGCTTGAGGAAACCGTGGCTCCAACCTTTGCACCACAAAGAGAACCAATACTTTTCTTGACAAAGCAGAACCGTCTTCTAAGGCCAGCAGAACCAGCTTTAAAGCTTCCTCCTGCATTGCTAGGGAAAGTTGGGCAAAACCAAAATTTATCAAGCACATAAGTAAGATAAATCCATCTATTAGAAAGGGAATATCCAATCGTTTCGGCAGCTATCACTCAATTAACTGGCAGCACAATAAGATTAACCAGCAACACACTTTTCAAACCATTTCTGTGGGCAATTTTGTATTACATTCTATTTATTTTATGAAGAAAGCAGGTAAGTGATTAATGCATTTACGAAAAACTTCTTATCGGGCTGGGCACGGTGGCTCATGCCTGTAATCCCAGCACTTTGGGAGGCCGAGGCGGGTGGATCACAAGGTCAAGAGATCGAGACCATCCTGGTCAACATGGTGAAACCCCGTCTCTACTAAAAATACAAAAAATTAGCTGGGCATGGTGGCGCGTGCCTGTAATCCCAGCTACTCAGGAGGATGAGGCAGGGAATTGCCTGAACCCAGGAGGCGGAGGTTGCGGTGAGCCGAGATCGCGCCATTGCACTCCAGCCTGGGTAACAAGAGTGAAACTCGGTCTCAAAAACAAAAAAAACTTCTTATCAAAATGAATGAACTTTCTGCTACAGGTGTGAAAAAAGGAAAAATTTTAAAAATAAAAAAAAATTTTTTTGGCATTAGAGATGATAAGTTTTGTGTTTTTACCCTGGAGACAAACCATAAAAAAAAAAGAGAAAAGTTTTAGTACACCACTTATAATTCCTACATCATACTTTTAGAATTATCAGCAGAATATATATGAAAACTTAATTACATACCTGGTCCAAGGAACTGGCAGCCCCTAGCCCTTACTGCTGCCCAAAGATTGGAGGAGAGCTGCTGAGGATTCTGGTGCTGGAGAATGAGCTCTGTAACTGTTCGTTCACCTAAAGATCGAGCTGCCCTCATGGCACGAATCCTGCCTTCTTCTTCTACTAGTTGACAGTGGACCAGAGTCACAAGCTTCCTCTGCATTGGGCGACTCAGAACACTCTGAGTAGTGCTGTTCAGACCCACTCCTTTAAAAGAGTAAGGAAGTTATTTCTAGGTTCACAATGCAATTTTAAAGTCCAGGAGCAATTCCTCTGTTGGGTTAACTTGTGAGTATGTGAATAGTTCTGGGTCCTACTAGAGTATTTAAAATAAACAACAAATAAAACCACACATGTAAAGCCTACTTATGTATACATTTTTAAAGTATACAAATGTATACATGAGTTATCTCATGTACACCTAACACTCATTATGACATTAAATATACTATTACTCATTTTAATCATTGAGGAAATAAGAAAAAAAGACTAGACAACATTGATAATTAGTTAATAATCTAAGTCTTGAGGCCCTAAGAGTTCTGGTATATTATTTCATAGCGGTTAATCTTACTTTCCTAATTAAATAGCAAGACCTTTCTGTGCAATAATGGCAACTTCCATATTTATTATGCCCACTATAGCATAGCATATAAAACCGGATAGCAGGTGAACCACTCAGAGTTGTCAAATGATGGAAAGCCTTTCTGAAGTAAGTAGTTATACTTACTTTAATGATCATTCAAATAATGTTTCCATCATCACATAAACTCAAAATTCACTAATTTGATGTGGTTTGTGTAATGGTATTTAGCACAAAATGAGTTTGGTTTACTAAATTTGGTTTAATAAATTTCATTAACATTCACTTAATAGCTCACAATTTTATGGTAACAGAAGTTTCTTCAGTAGACATTTACTTAGTATGGATAATTGCATCAAATTTACCTCTAGTTAGGTTTTTAGTGAACTCCTCCGGACTTCTAATATTAATATTATGTACTGAGTATTTAAAAAAGCAATTCTACTCTTTAAATAAAAAACAAAAACAAACTTACCTCTAGCACTGCTGAGTGGTTTTAAGTACAATGCTAATTCCTCTACACATTTCTTGGCTTCCTCATAATGCTTTGTGTCTTCCACCCCACTACACAAAGTAATGGGCTGCTGCTCAGGGACCTGGAAGCCAAAAGAAAAGATCTGTTTGAGTGCTCATTCACTAATTATATGTTTCATTTAGTAGAGTTTATGTATGCACAATGCTAAATCAAAACTCCCCCTAAATTGACTGAATTCTTTCAAATGATCTTTCCTATTAACATGTATCTTTGCATTCCTTTGTTTCATTTCTCTAACAGTCTAATTAAGATAAAATCCATATACCATACAACTGACTGATTTAAAGTATATACAATGCCATGGTTTTCAGTACATTCACAGTTGTGCAAACATAACCACAATCAACTTTAGAACCTTTTCATTACCCTAGGAAGAGACACAGTACCGTTTTAACAGCTACCCCTTATTTCTTTCCAACCACCCACCAACCCTTGGAAAGATGAATCTATTTTCTTTGGATTTGCCTACTGTGGACATTTCACATAAGCAAAATCAATACAATATATAGTCTTTTCGGACTTGCTTCTTTCACTTAACAATGTTTTTAAGGGTCTCCCAGGTTGTATCAGTACTTCATTCATTTTCATCGAGTAACATTCCACTGTATAAATATATCACACTTTATTTACACAATCATCAGTTGACAGACACATGGGTTATTTTTGACTATTATGAATAATGCTGCTACAAACATCTGTGTACAAGTTTTTATGTAGACAAAAGTTTTTGTTTCTCTTAGGCATATACCTAGGAATCTATATTTAAACTTTTGAAACACTGCCAGACTATTTTCCAAAAGCAGAGTGCATTTTATATACCTACCAGAGTGTATAAGGATTCAACTACTTCTACATACTTACTATCCTTTTATCTTTTTTGGACAGCAGCATCTATTTATTGGACAATTCCAGGTCGTTCCTAACACACCACAGCGGGGCATGTACAGTCTGGCCAGGTGGGGAGGAAGAACGGAGGGGGCGCATGGAGACACAGGGATGGTGGGGAAGTGAACACAAACCACTGTCTTTCCTTTTTGGTTAAAGAAAAAAACTATAATCAATATCCTGCTCATAAGTAAAAGTGGGACAGAAAAAACTTGATGGCTTTAATGTGGCACTTAGACCTCTCCTCCTCCCGTTTCATATGCACAGTTTATTTGGGTAATTGTACTGTCACCAGCAGAACACCTATAAGCAAAAACAAACATCAGAAAGGAAAAAGTATGAACAAAAGGAAGCTGGAGAAGGTGGCCCTCGGCCCCGGGAGGGGCAGGTGTGCAGGAAGGTATGCCTGCTCTTCTCGAACTCCTGCAGCAGCTCCTCAGTCTTGTTCTCCGTGTCCTCCTTGGGCTGGATATACTGGCAGAGCTCACAGATGAGCAACGCCCCAGAGTGGCCTCCTCGTGGTTGTCCTGGATGTCCACTTTGACCATGTGCACTAGCTGGCAGGTCTCCTGCTCTCTGGAATTCAGATCTTCCACCACCTCAAGTGAGGATCAGATCAAACGGTCTTTGTAGTTCTGGAACCTTTCTGGCAGGGCTTGATTCTCTTACTTCTGTCCAGCATATGCAAAATGCCATTCTGTGTATAGAGTTCTTTCTCTTTCCTAAGAAGATCATTGTACATCTAGTCATATGTGGTTTTGAAATCATAAACACTGGGCTTGTCCGGAGCTGGTCCTGGAAGCTTCACCCGAGTCCCTGTTCCAAAGGATCAGACGCTGACTTCCCGTTTGCTGAGGATGTTGTGCGCCCCCATGCTCCGGTTCTGGCTGCTTGAGCACACCAACACCACCCATGGGGATGACAGCATGGTAGCCGCACAGCCCATGGAGATCCTGCTCGGGATCCCACCCTACTGCAGCGCTTCCACGTGAGCAAAATGGCCTATCATTTTTTATATAGCGATCCTGGTGGCTGAAAAGCAGTAATTCATTGTGGCTTTTTAAAATTAATAACAATTGCATATATTTATGAGATACAATGTGATATTTTGATTGATACATTTACAATGTGCGAAGACTAAATCAGGTTAACAAATCCATCACCTCACACATTGTTGTTTGCAAATTTTAAATAAAATCTACTTATAGCAGTTTTGAAACATACAATGTATTACTATTTATAATCACTATGCTGTGCAATAGATCACTAAGTTATTCCTCCAGTCTAACTGAAGCTTTGTATTCTTTGATAATTATCTCTTCTTCCCATCTACCTTCTTCCCCCTTCATTGTGGTTTTGATTTGTATTTCCCTGATAGCTAATGATGGTGACCATTCTTTCATATGCTTATTAGTCATCTGGATATCTTCTTTGGAGAAATGTCTAATTAGATCCTCTGCCCATTTTTCCTAATAAACTTTATTTTGTAGAACAGTTTTAGATTTACAGAAAATTGGCAAAGGTAACACACAGAATTCTTATTATCCTGTATTCAGTTTTCCCTGTTAACAACATCTTACATTGGTATGGTACTTTTTTTTTGAGACAGAGTTTCACTCTTGTTGTTCAGGGTGGAGTGCGATGGCATGATCTTGACTCACCACAAACTCCGCCTCCCGGGTTCAAGCAATTCTCCTGCCTCAGCCTCCCAAGTAGCTGGAATTACAGGCATGTATTACCATGCCCAGCTAATTTTGTATTTTTAGTAGAGATGGGGTTTCTTTGTGTTGGTCAGGCTGGTCTTGAACTCCTGCCCTCAGGTGATCTGCCCGCCTTGGCCTCCCAAAGTACTGGGATTACAGGCGTGAGCCACCGCGCCCAGCAAGTATGGTACATTTGTTAAAATTAATGAGCCAGTATCCACATATTCATAATTAACAACTAAAATCTACATGTTAATCAAATATCCTTAGGGTTCACCTAATGTTCTTTCTCAGTTCCAGGATCCCATCGAGGATACCATATTACATCTAGTCTTCAGAGACAGAATCTTGCTCTGTCACTCAGGCTGTAGTACAGTGGCAACATCTGGGCTCACTGCAACCTCTGCCTCCCGGGTTCAAGTGATCCCCACCTCAGCCTCCTGAGCAACTGGGACTAGAGGCACACGCCACCATACCCAGCTAATTTTGTAATTTTTTAATAGAGATGGGGGTCCTATTACATCACCCAGGCTGGTCTCGAACTCTTGGGCTTAGTGCCATCCACCCACCTTGGCCTCCTTCTCTCCTTCCATGTTTCTCTTTCTCTCTTTTTTTAAGTTAAGACAAAGTCTCACTCTGTTGCCCAGGTTGGAGTACAGTGGTAAAATCTCAGCTCACTACAACCTCCACCTCCCAGGTTCAAGAGAGGCTCACGCAAAAGTAGCTGGGATTACAGCATGTGCTACCATGCCCAGCTAATTTTGTGTATTTTTAGTAGAGATGGGATTTCACTGTGTTGGCCAGGCTAGTCTTGAACTCCTGGCCTCAAGTGATCCACCCACCTCAGCCTCCCAAAGTGCTGGGATTACAGGCGTGAGCCACTGCACTGGCCCTTCCAAGTCTCTTTAAGCGCCTCTTGGCTTGGACAGTTTCTCAGACTTTCCTTGTTTTAATGCCCTTGACAGTTTTGAGGAGCACTGGTCTGGTATGTTGTAGAATGCCCCTAAACTGGAATCTGGGATCTGTCATTTTCTCATGAGTATTCTGGGGCTATGGATTTTTGGAAGTACGATCATAGGGGAAAAGTATCATTTTCATCATATCATATCAAAGATACATAGCACCAACACAACTTATTATTGCTGACGTTAAATTTGATTAGCTGGTTTAGTCAGTGTTTACCAGGTTTCTCCACTATAAAGTTACATTATCTCCCACCTTCCAAACTGTACTTTTTGTAAGGAGTCACTATGCACAGCCCACACACATTCTACATCCTTGGAGGCAGAGTATATCCATGTAATTATTTTGGAATTCTGCATGGGAGACTTGTTTATTTCTTCCATTTATTTATTTAATCATTTAATTTTATTGTGTAGACTTAAGTATATTTATCTTATACCTGGGTTATAATCCAATCCCATTTATTTTGTTGTTCAAACTGTTTTAGCTTTAGCCATTGAGAGTTTTGGCCCTTGAGAGCTAAAACATTAGTTGGCTCCTGTGTGCCTTTGATACAGCCCCCATTACTCTGTGTACCTGTTTGTGTATGTTCTGAATACTTCTCTTTACTTTCCAGCACTACAAGCTACTCCAGGCTCATTTTGTATATTTGCTGTCCCAGTGTCAGAATTGGCCATTTCTCCAAGGAACTCTGGTTTCTTTTATTGGAGAATGGTATTAGAAACCAAGATATGAATGCACTTTGCTATTGGGATGTTGTTCCTTCTAGGCCATCTTAGATGGAAGAGCAAGGAAATATGTTAGTGTAATAACCCAAGATGTACACATATCTATTTCTGTATATAACCATCAGTACCCATATCAAGCTAAACATGAGTTTATATTATGACTCCAACTCTAATCCATTGCCACATGAATCAGTCGAACGTCTTCTTCCTTGCTTATCTGCAAACTTTAACAGTGAGAAAACTGGCTCCAATCATTTGCCATTCATTTACTTAACTGTTCAATTCCAATATGTATTATATATACAGCTGCATCAGAATTAATTCATACCCCCATGGGAAAAGATTAGAGTACACTACTTATAGATAACATCTTCCCCATCTTTAATCTTACACAATCCACCTTTCTCCTCCACCCCTTTAGTAACATGTTTCATATATTTAAGATTGTTTTCCATAATCTTTGTAAAGTTCTACAGTTTTTGACAAATTTAGAATGTCATACAGCCACAATTACAGAATCATAAAGAACAGTTTTACTGCCCTAAGCAATATTCTGTATTTCACCAATTCAGTCCTCCCTCCCTCCTCCTGAATCCCATGACAACCACTGATATTTTTATTGTTGCTATGGTTTTACCTTTTACATAATATCATATAATTGGAATCCTGCAGTATGTAGCCTTCTCATACTGGTATCTTTCACTTAGCAATGATATACACTGAGATGTATCCATGTCTTTTTGCGACTTGACAGCTTTGTCTTTTTATTATTTCATTTTATATAATGTTCCATTGTATGGATATACCACTGTTTATCCATTCACCTATTAAATGATATCTCAACTGCTTCCATTTTTTGGCAATCATGAATAATGTTGTTATAAATAGCCATATGAGGGTTTCTGTGTAGACATAAATTTTCAAGTTAGTTGGGTAAATACCTACTATGTTAAGCTCATAAAGAAACTGCCAAACTGTCTTTCAAAGTGGTTATACCATTTTTCATTTCCAAAAGAATGAGAGTTTTTCTTTCTTTTTTTTTGAGACAGAGTCATTCTGTCACTGAGGCTGGATTGCAGTGGCACGATCTCAGCTCACTGAAACCTCCACCTACGTGGTTCAGGCGGTTCTCTGCCTCAGCCTCTTGAGTAGCTGGGTTTACATGCACATGCCATCACAACCGGCTAATTTTTTGTATTTTTAGTAGAGATGGGATTTTACCATATTGGTCAGGCTGGTCTTGAACTACTAACCTCGTGATCTGCCCACCTCAGCCTCCCAAAGTGCTAGGATTACAAGCGTGAGCCACCACGCCCGGCCAGATTTAGAGTTTTTGTTGGTCCATATCCTCATCAGCCTTTGGTATTGCTAATGTTTGAATTTTGGCCATTCTAACTGGTGTGTAGTGGTATCTCACTTGCTTTAATTTGCAATTCCTTAAAGACAACTGCTGAGCTATTTTTCATTTGCTGATCTGCCATCTGTGTAATCTATTTGATGAGGTGATTGCTCAGCTTTTTGTCCATTTTCAAAATTGGGTTGTCTTTTTATCAATGAGTTGTAAGAGTTCTTTATATATTCTATACATCTTTATCAGAAATATGATTTTACAATTGTTTTCATACATTCTGTGGATTGTTCTTTTCGCTTTCTTGTTGGTATCTTTGTTTTTTGTTGTTGCTGTTGTTTTTGAGATAGGGTCTCATTCTGTTGCCCGAACTAGAGCATAGGGCTGCAATCACAGCTCACTGTGCCCTGACCTCCTGGGCTCAGGTGATCCTTCCACCTCAGCCTCCCAGATAGGTGGGACTACGAGCATGTGCCACCATACCCAGGACATTTTTTTTTTTTTTTTTGTATTTTCTGTAGAGATGGGGTTTTGCCATGCTGCTTAGGCTGGTCTTAAACAATCCACTCAGCTTGGCCTCCCACAGTGCTGGGATTACAATTAGCCACTGCACCCAGCTAATATGAACATCTTTGAAACACAGTTTTTAGTTTTGATGAAGTTCAACTTACCTTTTTCTTTTGTTTCTTGTGCTTTTTGTCATATATCTAAAAAAAAAAAAACTCACTGCCTATTCCATGGTCATGAAGTCTTATGTCTATGTTTTCTAAGAGTTTCATAGTTTTAGTTCTTAGATTTAGCCTTTGATACATTTTGAGCTAATATGAATAAATGTTTAGTCAAGTCTTAAGTTTCTTTTAACAATGATTTGTAGTCTTCAAAATATAGTTTTACTTTTTTTGACAGTCATGCTCTGTCACCCAGGTTGGAATGCAATGGCATGATCTTAGCTCACTGCAACCTCAACCTCCCAGGTTCAATCCAGTCTCCTGTCTCAGCCACCTGAGTAGCTGGGATTATAGGTGTGCACCTTCATGCCTGGATAATTTTTATATTTTTTTGTAGAGATGGGGTTTCACCATGTTGGCCAGGCTGGTCTTAGAAGTCCTGGCCTCAAGAGATCTGCTAGCCTTGGCCTCCCAAAATGCTGAGATTACAGGCGTGAGCCCCTATACCTGGTCTAGTTTTACATTTCTTTTGTTAAATATATTCTTAATATTTTATTTTATTTTTTTGATGCTCTTGTAGATGAAATCGATTTTTGTTTTCAGAGTGTCCACTGCTAGTGTATTGAAATGTAACATATATTATTTATTTAACAAATCTTTATTAAGGGCCTACTATATGCCAGACAGTCTTTCTTATATGTGTAAGAAAACTATTATTAACATATTGTGGATGAAAGTATACAACACTAGCTGGGTACGGTGGCTCATGCCTGTATTCCTAGACTTCTGGGAGGTTCAGGCGGGTGGATCACTTGAGGCCAGGAGCTGGAGACCAGCCTGGCCAACATGGCGAAACCCCATCTCTACTAAAAAGACAAAACTTAGTTGGGCATGGTGGTGCACACCTGTAATCCCAGCTACTTGGGAAGCTGAGGCACGAGAATCACTTGAACTGGAGAAGCAGAGGTTGCAGTGAGCCAAGATTGTGCCACTCCAGCCTGTGTAACAGAGGAAGAAAAAAATAAAGATTATGAAACATTGTAAACACATTTTTACACTTTTGAGACTTTTGCTTCTTCAGACAACTAATATTTATATACTCATCTTATATCCTGTAACTTTGTCTAACTAGTTTTTTGTTTCTATTAGCTTTTCATTTGTAGATTTCTTAACATTTTCTATATATAAGATCATGTCATCTGTGAATGAGATAGTTTTTACTTTTTTCCTCCTTATCTGAATGTCATTCGTTTAATTTACTTGACTAATTGCCCTGGCTAGAAGGTCCTGTATGATGTTGAACAGAAATAGTTAAGAGTGGAGTTCCTTGACTTGTTCCTGATCTTTAAGAAAAAGAATCTAGTTTTTCACCATTCAGTATGTTAGTGGTGGGTTTTTCATCCATGTCCTTTGTCGGGTTGAAGAAGTTCCTTTCCTAGTTGTTTCAGTGCTTTTATCATGAAAAGGTACTGGATTTTGCCAAATGCTTTTTTTGTGTCTACTGAGATGATCATATGTGTGCAATTTTGAAATGTTTATTGATGTAGTGAATTACTAATTGATTTGCAGATGTTAAATCAACCTTACATTCCTAGGACAAATTGGTGATGATCTATTTTATAGTCTAATTTATTTTTTCCTTTTAGATGAAAGAAAAAGATAATTTTTAATTGTGAGAATATATACATAACACAAAATGTACCATCTTAACCATTTTTAGGTCTATAATACATTAAGTATGCTCTAATGGTTCCCAAACGTTGTGCTATAGTTGTCACCTTTTCATCTTTCATTTCAGTTATCGTCTACTGAGTAAAACTGCCTGAAGCAGCTGCACCTTCCATAGTGAGTAAAGTGTAGTGGTTTTATGAACAATATTTTTCTCAATGTTAAAAGAGGTTCTTATTACTTACATCTTAGGGTTTTTTTTTTTTGAGACAGGGTCTTACTCTGTCACCCAGGCTGGCATGCAGTGGTGTGATCTTGGCTTACTGCAACCTCTGCCTCCTGGGTTCAAGCGATTCTTGTGCCTCAGCCTCCCGAATAGTTGGGATCACAGGGGTACACCACCACACCCGGCTAACTTTTTTGTATTTGTAGTAAAGACAGGATTTCACCACATTGGCCAGGATGATCTCAAACTCCTGACCTCCAATGATCCACCCACCTCGGCCTCCCAAAGTACTGGGATTACAGGCGTGAGCCACCACAACTGGCCTTAGGTTTCTCTAGTGATCTGCATAGCTAGGTTTATTGAATATCTGACAAGATTAAACGGATGTTACTGTGCTATGACTGAAAAGCACTGGGCTACCTACCACAATAAATCCAACATGCTGAAATAAAGGGTTTGCAGTACCAAACAGATTTATACCTATTTAAGTAGAAGGCAATGTTACCCAATTTTAATTCAACAGGTTTCTCTCAGGAGAAAAACATACAACACACACACACACACACACACACAGAAATTTGAAAGTATTAAGTCACCCATCTTACCTGAGCACCCACGAGCTGCAGCAATGCTGAGTTCACAGGGAGAAGCTCAATGTCTGTATTGATAGTGGTCTGGTCAAATGGGCAAGCCTTGCGGTGGAGTTTATTCAGGCACATCTTGCAGACAGTATGGCCACAACCCAAACTGATGGGCTTTCGAATTGTTTCGTCGAAAGTCTGAGTGCAAATTGGGCAGGAGAGGAAATCCGTCCATTGTGGAGCTTGTACAGGCATTGCTTCTGGAGTTACAATTCACGAACACAAACACACACACAAATCTAAAGCAAAGATTCCACTGGAATCAAAATCTTTGAAAAAAAGTTTATCTTTTTTTTTTTTTTTTAAATATCTTCTGTAGATACAGTCAGCACATAGTGTGAAATATAACCTGGAAAACAGAAAAAAAAAAAAGGAAAAAAATTGCATGTCTTTCTTTCCAATTAAATTGCTGAAAAAGAACCACAAGTCCAGTCTTATTCCACAACTTTTTATACCACATTTGTACCACGGTAATCCATCTTTTTACACTTTCACAGATTTAGAGCAATGATAAAACATCTAGTTTATTCCCTCATTTTAGAGATGGGAAGTAGTCCCCTGCCTGAGGGGACACTTTAAATTAGTAATAAAGTTAGATCCAGGACCCAAGTCTCTTAAGTTTATTTAAGTCTCTGATTTTTAAAAAATAAATATATCTAAAACTTAAACTTGGTTAGGTACAGTGGCTCACGTCTGTAATCCCAGAATTTGGAAGGCCAAGGCAGGTGGCCCTTGAGGTCAGGAGTTGAAACCAGCCTGGCCAAACATGGTGAAACCCCATCTCCACTAAAATTACAAATATTAGCTGGGTGTGGTGGCAGGCACCTGTAATCCCAGCTAATCAGGAGGGTGAGGCATGAGAATCACTTGAGACTGGGAAGCAGAGGTTGCAGAAGGCCAAGATCATGCCACTACACTCCAGCTTGGCTGACTGAGTGAGACTCTGTCTTAATAACTAACTAACTAACTAACTAACTCTTTTTAAGGAAACTAATAATACTGTGTTTCTTGACCTGGGTACCATTTACATGGGTTTCATTAGTTGTGAAAATGTATCAAGCTCTTCACTTATGTGCACTTTTATGTATGTTCCACATCAATAAAGAGTTTTTCTTTGTAAATAGCCTAAAATAAAAAGTACCTTAAATACTTTATCGTCAAATTTGGTGGGAGTAATGAGATAAAAAGAGACTGTTTATTTTTAAGTTTCAGATATTCTTCTGAGCTTTATATACTGGTAGATGTCTCTTTTAGGCTCTTTGTGTGGCCTATACTTATTTGCTACAGCATGTTTTAAAACTATATAACGTATTTACCTCAAAATTTTTTTAACTCCTAAATTTAAGAATGATGGAATAATTATGATTAACCAGAACCTATGTATGATCAAATTTCACTGTCTACCTTCTACTTTTGGTGGGAGATAAAAGCCAAATTACAAAACTTATCACCTGGTGTCTACCAGGAATTTTCTTTAAATATAAAACCCAACCTGAAATTGCTAGCACACATCTTAAACAACATCTACTATACTTGCTATAACTGTAGTTTTTAAAAATGAGAATTGATGCCCAGAAGAATAAAGTACCGCTGGGTGTGGTGGCTCAAGCCTGTAATACCAGCACTTTGGGAGGCCGAGGCGGGTGGATTACGAGGTCAAGAGATCGAGACCATCCTGGTCAACATAGTGAAACCCCGTCTCTACTAAAAATACAAAAAATTAGCTGGGCATGGTGGCGCATGCCTGTAATCCCAGCTACTCAGGAGGCTGAGACAGGAGAATTGCCTGAACCCAGGAGGCAGAGGCTGCGGTGAGCCAAGATCGTGCCATTGCACTCCAGCCTGGGTAACACGAGTGAAACTCTGCCTCAAAAAAAAAAAAAAAAAGAAGAATAAAGTACCAAAGTCTTACAAGTTTTTAAAGATTTAATTATGCTCAGTAGTCTCCTTAACAAAAGTAAAAATTTATTTATGCTATAATTAAATAGAAAAGTAAATTATCTACAATCTTATTCTTCAAGCTTTACGGTTAGTTCATGTTTCACTGGAATAACTCAGTCTTGAATATAACCCCATTACTGATGAGAAAACAGGTTCCATTAGGTATGCTAAAAATTTTATCTAGGCTGGGTGTGGCAGCTCATGCCTGTATTCCCAGCACTTTGGGAGGCCGAGGTGGAAGGACTGAGCTCACAAGTGTGAGACCAGCTGAGGCAACAAAGCGAGGGCTCATCTCTACTAAAAATAAAAAAACTTAGCTGGGTATGGTGGCATGTGCCTGCAGTCCCAGCTACCTGGGAGGCTTAGGCAGGAGGATCACTTAAGCTGGGGAGATCAAGGCCACAGTGAGCTATGATCACACTGCTCACTGCACTCCAGTCTGAGCAACAGAAGGAGACCCTGTTTCAGAATGAATGAATGAATGAATAAATAAATATCATCCATTCATTAATTCAACAAATATTTATAAGCACAATTACATTCCAGGCTGTTTAAATTATGGGGCAAATAGTGAGACAGCACAGTCACAGTACCTGTCTTCATTTGTTAACAGTCTATTCCGCCTCAATTATGTTTGGGTTTTTGCAAAGTGTGCTACCAGATAATAAAAATGAACACTGAAATGAAAATAAATAGATATATAGATAAATTTAATGGCTTACATAGTTCCCAAATTAATTTCATGTTCAGGATCTAAAAGTTATCTGCAAGTGTATTCAAAAGATTCTTGCAATAATACAAAAAGTAAATTAGCAAATTGCCCACATTTTGATTTCTATAATAAAGCATTATAAATACTTTTAATAAAATTTGTCTACAAATAGATCATTCGTAGCTAGTCTGCTTATATTAAATTATTACTATTTAATATATGGAGGCTGTTATCTGGATAATAAGAAAATACAGTATCTAATCACACTATTCAATTGTAGAGTCAAATGCTGTAATTGTACATGGGATTATAATGTGTTCCAAAATAAAGGATTAAAAAGGTTAGTGTTTAGAAAATATAATATTCAGAATGAGAACTGGATGTTAGTCAGAAAATGTTTGCTGAAGCCAATTAAGTTGATTCAGTGTCATCCACATGAACTCTTCTATAGATTAGCATGACATTTTGTATTAATGCCTATGATGAATCTCATCATGTGCTAATCTTTGCAGAAGTAGAGTTAATCGTTACTTCTTTTTTCTATCATAACCTAATAGAGAACATAGAATTTTAAAATTAATCATAAAGATAAAATACAGTACTTTATTCCTTTAAGCACTATACAAATCCCAAAGCACGAACTGTAGTATTTTACTGCAGGTCATTATAGTTTTTACTATTTATACAGCTTGGTGCCACACACTGCGCCAAATGCCTCACACAGAGCAAACCTATAAACGGTGGGTACTACTGTTATCCCATTTTATAGATAACAGAAATGGAAGTTTAGAGGCTGAGTAAGCTAGAAACATACAGCTGAGATATTAACCCAGATTCTGGCTCAGAATCCAAACTCTTAATCCTATCACCACAGATTAAAGGTTAAATATAAAGAATGTAGAACTACTTGCACGTTCATTCAAAAATCATGTAAGATGCTAGAGTTGGTATAAGCCAATGTCACAGATCTGCATTCTCTAATACAAGCTTATCCAACCCCGCAGCCCATGAACCACATGCAGCCCAGGATAGCTTTGAAGGCAGCCCAACACAAATTTGTAAACTTCCTTCTAACAGTGTAAGATTTTTTGTGTGATTTTTTTTCTTTTTCATCAGCTATTGTTAGTGTTAGTGTATTTTATTTGTAGCCCAAGACAAATCTTATTCCAGTGTGGCCCAGGGAAGCCAAAAGATTGGACACCCCTGCATAGGTATTGACTTCACAGCCATTCCGTTCTTTCTTTTTTTTTTGAGACGGAGTTTCGCTCTTGTTACCCAGGCTGGAGTGCAATGGCACGATCTCGCTCACCGTAACCTCCGCCTCCTGGGTTCAGGCAATTCTCCTGCCTCAGCCTCCTGAGTAGCTGGGATTACAGGCATGCGCCATCATGCCCAGCTAATTTTTTGTATTTTTAGTAGAGACGGGGGTTTCACCATGTTGACCAGGATGGTCTCGATCTCTTAACCTCGTGATCCACCCGCCTCGGCCTCCCAAGTGCTGGGATTACAGGCGTGAGCCACCGCACCCGGCCGCCATTCTGTTTTTAGGCAAGCTTGGTCAAGTCCTTGTTCTGATCTTTGTCTTCTCAACAAGATATGAAACAGATGACTACTCCCTCCTTACAAGTGTTAATGAACCACATTCCCCTCCTCCATCCTTCCCAACTCACTGGCTATTCTTCTGAAAGCTTAAACTTAAAAATGCTGGAGTCCTCATGGTGTTATCTTGAGTTTCCTTTTCTCATCATGTTCCAGGTTAAAATCCTTACATGGCTTCCTATTATATTTAGAAAAAAATTCAGATTTCGTATTCATATTTACAAAGTCCTAAATGATATGACTTCTCCAACTGCATCACCTAACACCAGAAGATTTTCATCACGGGACCTTCTTTTCTTTTTCTTTAAGGCTCTACAGGCTTCAGGACATAACCAGATGTTTTTTCTTTTCTTTTTTCTTTGTTGAGATAGTCTTAAAATTGCAGCAAGTATTTGCGAATCACTACATGTCCAGCACTGCAGGCTATGGACAGCAAGAGCAACATCAGTTTAATCTTTCCCTGCTCTCCCACAGATTTCAGGTCAATGCTGCTGCAACAAGTTTCCTAAATGATTCTGCTGTAACAGAAACTGTTTAAAATAAAATTATAAAATATTACTGGCAAAAGATACCTTAGAAAAAGTCTAATTCTAGTTTCACTGGTTTTTTAAATAACATTTATTTATGTCCCTACCAGTAACAAGTCTTAAGTTTTTTCAAATACCTCTTTTCATTTAATCTTTACAACTAAAAAGGTTGGTATCATATTCCTTATTTTTACAAAAAAATAAAATAGCATTCAGAGAACTTCTCCAAGTTTATAAAAGGGTAAGTAGCAAACTTAAGACAACCACCACCTGAGGTCTTCTTGACAGGAAAATTTATGTACTTTCAACTATACCAATTTGAC